TATGCAATTTTACAAGATGCCCGTCACGGTTGTATACAAATCGACAAGAGATGCAATAAATTAAACAAGTTTTCGCACAAAAAATTACTCGGGGGAAGTATAAGTTACGCTCATGACGGCTCCGAAAACCTTGTTGATGAAATTAAGTTAACTGCGGTTGTTAACCAGAAGAGAAGCAATCCGGTTACATTAACCGTTAATGTGTTACCTGTCAATGATCAAAAACCGAAGTTAGTCAATAATACAGGACTTGTCATGTGGGAAGGCGGAGTGGAAGCAATAACCAACTCAATGTTGGGTGAGTAAAACTAAAAACTTTTTCTTTTAATAAATAAATAATTACAGCTGCAATAGACAACGATAAACCAGGTGATATTTTAAAGTATCAAGTTTTAAATAGTTGGTGGGGTAGTTTGGCACTTAAATCCGACTTGTCAAGCTCCGTGAATCATTTCACTCAGGAACTTATCAACCGAGGAATGATCGTGTTCAAAAATCAAGGTTTGGTGGCATTGTCCCGAGGGGCCGTTAACTTGAAAAAAATGTGTACAACTAATTCCAATCCCAAAAAAATCCAGTAATTCCAATCAGATTAATTCCTATAATTCCAAATTAATTCCTGTAATTCCAAAATAATTCCTAAATTAAATAGTTCTAAGAAATTCAACTCATCAATACGGTACTGGCCGCCAAAATTAACCTAACAACTAAAATTTTGCGATTTTTTACATTGCAATATTTTTGTTATTCTTTGTCGGATTTCAACGAATTTTTGTTCGGCTTAAAAACGAACTTTACAGAACATTGTAATTTAATTCATTTCTGGTTTTGTCTTGTAAATGTTATGCCTAAAAGACGAGAGCACTGTTTTTTTACTTTTTTTATACTAAGCCGTAGTGTGCAATAGAGACAAAATTAAGTTTTTACTTATTTCACATTATTGCCCGTTTTTTTCTGAATGAGGACCAATTTTTTTTTTTAATTTTATCTTTTGGTGCCCCAGAGATCCAAAACATTGGAAAATAAGCTACTTTTCTAATGTTACTCAGAAAGTAGGCTACATAAAAAAGTAGTTAAACCGAAAATTATTGCTTGTCACCAAAAAAGCACAGTTACGTCTTTGAACACAAAAAATCTGAAAAACTTGGAACTTCAACGGATTTTAATAATAACAAAAGAAATAAGACAGTAGGTACAAGTACGTATTTTTGACAAAATTTTTTCTAACGGAAATTATAAATGAAACCATAATAAAACCATAAATTGGAGTATAAAAGTGTAAAAGTTAAAAAAATATAAAAAGTAAAAAAATATAAAAATTATAAAAATTAACCATAAAATAACACAAATCATTAGATAACATGAACTAATAAATACTAAGAAGAAACTAAGAAAAACACAAAACATAAAATAAAAACTCTCAAAATATATTCAAAAAAACAATAATCAATAGAAATAAAAAAATTAAAGAAATAAAAGTTTTAAATTTCGTTTTTCTCAACCAAAATCGACTATGATAAAAAAGGTAAAAAATTTTACTAAAAAAAATGTTTTAAAAAACAAGTTGCAGAGCGTGTTTTTTACTAGAGGTGTGCACAGAAAACAGCCATTTTGAATCGTGTTTTATACAAGATTTTTTCCAATTTGGTTGTGAAAAACATAGGCACCAAATTCGAATTTAAAATCTGTGATTTCAATAATTTTCCAAAATCATACTAGGTCGTGGCGTTGCTATGAAAATAGTGTTATTTATTTGTTTTCTTAATGTCACACTTTTTAACACTAGTGATAAAATAATGTCATATTTTATAACTAGTGATAAAATTAAACACATTTGACAACTAAAGTGACATCACAATGGTTGCTTTTCACAACAAAATTGGAAAAAAAATTGTTTCCCCCTAACGGAATAAAACTTACTCCGAAAAAATGTATTTTCAATAAAACGACTCATTTTTAATAGAAAATCGCAATAGAAACACAACAAATACAAAAAAAATCAATTGAACAAATTATCAAGTGGAAGCTTCCAGGCGCCTATTTTGACGTTATGGCACAGATTCACATTCATTGAAATTGGAAATGTAATGTTTTTTTAAGGTTTATATTTTTCATGTCTCAAGAATTAAAATTATGGAGAATAATGTGGTACATAATTCAGAAAAGGATGTACAATAATCTGAAATCAGTAAAAACTTAAGTTTGTTTCTGTCGCACACCACAGTTCAGTATGAAAATAAGTAAAAAAAACACCACTGCTTTCGTCTTTTGAGTATCACAAAACTAGAAATATTATTGAATTAAATTACAATGATCTACAAAGTTTTTTCTTTAAGCCAAACAAAAATTCGATAAAGAATAACAAAAATATTGCATCGTGAAAAATCGCAAAATTTTTGTTGTCCGGTTAATTTCGGCGGCTGATAATTCCAAAAAAGTTCCAGTAATTCACATACAATTCTAGTAATTCACAATCCAAAGATAATTTCAATAATTCCAAGCAATTTCCGATTGAATTCCAAAAATTTGTAGTGAACGGCCCCTCGGGTTTCCCCCAATTGAGACTAATTAACTTGATTCTAGATGGACGCGAAGCGAAATTTACGTTTAATATAAGTGATGGATTACACACAACAGAACAGTACACATTTCACATAAAAACAAAACCAGTACAGTTGGAAATCCACTGTAGATCACTCCACATTTTCCCATTGCAACGAAAATACATCACATCGTCACATCTGCTCACAACAATTTCAGACTCGACCCGTGTTGTGACCTACGATGTTGTGACCCCACCGACTCTCGGCCGCCTCATGATGGAGTCAGCGGAAGCCCCAGGGATTTACAAAGTCGTCTCAACATTCACCCAAAATGACTTAAACGAAAGCAAAGTCTTCTACGAGCACACACACCAATTTTCCGATTTGTACGCAAATGATTCGTTTGTTTTCAACGTCAAGGCCCACCTTGCGCGCAGTTTGCACAATCAGAGTTTGAAAATCGACATTTCTGTGTCTTCGGGGGGCTTGGACGCGTATGTGACCATTCCGAAGATCACGGTTAATGAAGGGGGGATTACCACAGTTCCGTTGAATTTATCACGTGTGATTAGTTTTCTTGAGAATCATGCCGGGATTCGGTCACCGATTATTCACGCATCGGCTAGTGTCCCCCAACATGGGGTGATTTTCCTCAAACATAATCACAACATTAGCACTTTTACGCAACAGCAGTTGGAGGCGGGGCAGGTGTATTACGAACATGACCATTCGGATTCACTTGGGGATAATATTCATTTTTCTTTATATTTGATTCCGGGTTATGTCATTTTGTGTAATATAACAGTGCCTATTAGTATTAACCCGATTAATGACCAACCGTTTAATTTGGTTACGCCGGCTCCAAGTTTGACTGTTGTACAAGGCGAGAATCACACGATTACAAGAACTGAACTTGCGACAGAAGACGCGGATACACCACCATCGAAAATAAAATATGATATAATCTCAGGGCCGCATCAAGGGAGATTAGTCTTGTTACCGGATCGAGTACCTGTGACTTATTTTACTCAAGCTGATATTGACAACAAATTGTTGGTTTATATACATAATAGTTCGGTTCTGGTTGATTCGTTTCATTTTCGAGTCTGGGATGAATCTTTCCGGCCGGAATTTAAGTTGTTTAATATAATAGTTTTGCCGATACGGATTAATATAACAGCAGGATTACCGGTGTATTTGCAACAAGGCTCAGACGTTATGTTCCTATCAGAAAAACAGTTTTTTATTGAAACAAATGCAAATCAGGAGAAGATTCGGTATACGGTGAAACGTGAACCGAAACGTGGGGTTCTCTACGTACAAGATGCTCCCTCTATGGTGTTCACCCAAAATGACTTAAAAAATGACTATGTCATGTACCTACAAACTGATATGACCGCCGCTAATGACACGTTTAAAGTCATCGGTGAGATTATTTCCGGTAATACATCGGTAGGAAACGAAGTTGATGTAACAATTAAAGTACAACCACTGATGCAAATACGAAACTTCACTGTTATAACTGGGGAGTATAACCGACTCACATTAAGTGTTCTTGATGCTACACCTTTAGCTAAATTAACCAATAGCAATCCACGATATACAGTCATGCATCTACCGACTTGTATCCAAGTGAAGAAAGTAATAAGAAGTTCAGGCGAAAAGCGTCATGTGTTAAATACAGTGATAACGTCGTTTAGTCACGATGAAGTACAAAGTGGTTTAATATATTTATATGTGAAAAATATCGAACTACCTTGGAACGGCCTACAGGAACGTTTAATTTTTCTACTTGCTGCTAGTATTTTCCAACCGGCTGTTGGCGAATTAAAATTAGATATTAAGTCCTCGATTAGTAATGAAATCCACTCGACTTTAGCCGGGCCGAGTGACCCAGCCGGTCATGAAGGAGGCTTGCACTTTGCAAGTCCTAACATGACCCGAGACTACTTCCTCATTGGTACAATTCGTTGTTGCACTAGACGTGGTTTAATTTTGATTGTTTTAGTGAGTATGGTTGCTGGTGTGATTATACTCGGAGTCGCTGTAATCGTAGTTATTAAGTGTCGCTCATTAGAAGTTGAAGAATTGAAGAAAGAAGAGGAGTGTTTGCAACCTATACCTCTACCGAGACCTCCTGACCGGTTATTGGCGTCACCTTCGCCCCTAAAGCAGCACCATTTAGATGGATTCACCCCATCGCTACCCACAGCACTGCCACAGTGTAAAGTCACTCCACTTAGTAGAAGTGAGCTTGAATCGCATGCGTGTTACCCCTACGGTGTTGATGAGCAACATTCGGATGATTGGAGTAGTTGCGAAGCATCAGACCCAACGTGTCCCTCTAAGAACATTATGCTGCGTAGAAACCAATATTGGGTTTAACATTTTAACTCGACTTTTCATTACCTATCAGTGTATAGGTCTGTGGTGTATTTATACAAAAATTACAAAACGTTTTTTACGGAACTTAGGTTTTATTTCTTTCTTAGGGATAGTTTTCTTATTATTTTTATATACAATACTAGGCTTAGAGTGAACCAATGCGTTATTTTATCGCTACAATATTGTAGGTATTTTTACTTTTTGCTATGTTTGAATAAATATTATCTTATTTTGAATTCCATTAATTACTGGAATGTATGAAGTCCAAAATCGCCAATATATCACAAGTTATTTAGAAATTACTTTGAAGTTGCCAAACCGATAGTTCGACTCGATTTTGGCAATTCAAAATCGTAGGTTTTATCATAATTATCACAGCAATTCAATGGAGGCCTTGCCCGCACCCCGAACGTTGTAAGTCTTTTTTCAGGTAGCTGACAAAGCATCAAAGTAAGTAAACGATACTGAAACAATAACCTGGCTCATTGGTCAAACAAAACGAAATTTGATACCTCATCCGAATATTGTTCAGTAAAGTCTTTGGGAAACTTATTATCTCTGATGCTGGTCATTGTCTGTATTCTTTCCATATCCGTGGAGAAATATACCAACAATTCGAAAAATATCAATCCCAATGAGTATATGTCAACCTTGTAATTGTATTTTTGGCCGTTCAATTGTTCAGGGCTCATATACAAGCGAGTTCCTACAAAAAAATGTCAAATGTCAAAATTTTTGGACAGATAGAGTTGCCAACTCACCAACTTCTTTCGTGTGTCCTTTAAGTGAACTTAAACCACTTGAAGCATCATGAGATTCCTCTTCGTCTTTCACCAAACCAAAATCCCCCACTTTGATTTGACCATCCAAAGAAAAAAATATATTGCTAGGCTTCAAGTCACGATGTATTAGGCCGTGCATGTGTACGTATTCAACAGCCGACACAATTTGTTTAAATATTTGTAAGATGTCGGTAACGGGGCGCTCTTTATTATCGACCAACCACTCTTTCAAACTCTGTCTTTGACATAACTGCATTTGAATGTAAAGAAAAGTTGGTGGTTCTTTTACAGGAGAGTCAGTTAAGCTGTGATAACGCCGACTAGGGCGGCGCCAGTTTACCCCCGATGTGTGGGATTCCTCATACGACACTGTCTCAGTTTTATCACTTTGCACATGGCTGCCTTTGGTACTATTCTGAAATACAATAAACGAATCGTTACTCTTAGTTTCATCGATTGCGTAAGAAAAAGGATCAACAGTCTTATTTTTTGAGTGTGTTGTTTCAGTTGTAAATCCACTTGTTTCTCTATCTCTACAAGAAATAGTTTTAATTTTTGACAGTACAAGTACAAAGCTTACTTGATCCAATCGTTATCGTGTTGTTCTTGCCAACCTGGCGGAGGCTGCTCCACCCACGAATTAAAATACCTAACAATATTATGGTGTTCTAATTTTGCCAAAGCCTTGACTTCTCTCATAACAGCTTCGCGTTTTTTTCTCCTGAAACGTTTTATTGTCAAATGAACCGACAAAAATAATATCATACTCATTAGGCAACACAATTCTTTTTATCGCGTAGTGACACTCATCAATTTTTTGTTTCACTTCAAAAACAACCCCAAAACCGCCCTTCCCCAAACACCTTAAAGTATCAAAATCGTTCAAATAGCGCGAAGTGAATAACCCATCCGACGACTCAGATGTCCTGTCAGATGAGGAGTCTTCTACAGGGCGTTCAACAAAAATCACTTGTTTAGTGGGGTTTTGGCGGCGGCTGAATGACCGAAACATTAAATTGAACAGGAGAGAAAATGTCAATAGTGTAACGAGAATTTCTTTCCTGGAATATCACGTTTTGAAGAAAGAAAAAAATAAAGTGCGAAATTCTCACCACCACATTGAAAATAACCATCTGAGACTATCAGTTTTCGAATTAAAAGTCAAGGCCGGGTATTTTAACGTATTATTGTTTTCACAAATCGCACTATTTTTTTGTTTTATTGCTTGGTCACTGTAGAGGAAGTATCCATGACCGTTGACATATTCCGAGCTGTATAAAACCGAAATCGCTGTTGAATCATCCTCAGTTACAAGTCCTGACGCTGGGATAGGTTTCCAGGGGATTTTCCCCAAACTCCTCGGTGGTCCCACTGCCGTTACCGCTTGTAACTTATTTTGTAAAACGAAAGATTCATGAATGTACAACTAAAACCCAAAATTAGAAAGAATATGGCAAAATTACCACAAACCTGCTTCTTGTGCATCCCGAGATATATAGCTGGTGATATTTCCGTTTCTTTACTATTTTTTACTTGAAACAAATTTATTTCTGTGAGTTTATGGCCGTTCCATCTCCAAACACGCACTATAGGTGATGGAAATTGATATTGCCAAGTGGTTTCAACGTTATTTTGAAAATTTGAGGCTAATAGTAGACCATCAGGTATTATGGCGGATATATTCCAGTTGAAAAGGTTTTTGTTTGAGTCAGCACAACTAACATGAGTTGATTTTATATTGTGATGGCCTACACTGAAGTTCCATTTTTCATGTCCTGATTGTGACTCAACAGCCCTAACTATCTGTGTGCTCCTCTCCAAAAGTAAAATATCCTCAACTTCAGGCCCACTATTAGTGGTGTTTATGCAATGTAGAGTGGAACAAGTGTAGAAAACTTTGCCAGTGCGGAACCCTATACCATAGGTTCGCACTTCAAGTCCCCCTGCTATAACTAAATCGTCGGAGTATTTAAAAGAGGATCTTAATAGAGACTCTGCTGATATTGAAATTGGATCAATACTGGAACCATCAAACCTGTATAACGCCCCAGTTAAAGAGGGGATTATCCTGATCCATTTACCACTATTTGTTAACTGGAAATAGAGATTAGAACAATTTTACGGGGATTTATCTTTCTCCACCTCAAGATTATGAATGTTTGAGACTAGTAAAGGTCCAGGATCGGTATCAACTTGCCATTTTAAAGCCCCTTCTGAAGACAAGGCTGAGAATTTTCCGTCAATGGTACTAACAAGAACCAAGCTAAAATTTTATTTTTATAATCACTATTCCACTGTTAAAGTGCTACATACCCTGGCACATAACTGTCAAGACAGTTTGGGAGCTGCTCATATTCCCCGTGGACTTGAATTAAAACCAGTAAGAAAAAAACAATACCTGATTGGAAAAAAAGCATTTTGGAAATATATTATGGTAAAAATGCTACACATCACATGTTCGTTAAGTCATATTATTATTATTAAACCACACTGAATTCAGGAATGTAATGAAATTTAGCGTAAAACACAACAGGATATTTCTTTCAAAATAATGTTATTTACAACAAGTGTGTACATGTCACTGCTGTCATTTGATGACACAAGTTCATGATGTGGTTCCAGAATGTCGCACTTGGTACTTGGTGTCGAACCTTGGCAAACATTGAACTCGCGCAGCACCGTAGCACACATCACGTGGTTGACTTTCATTCTGTTCAAATTTTCAAATTCGAATTGAATTAAAACAGTTTTCTTATGGATAATCGGTGAGGTTTTTGCAAAATCTTGAAGAATAAACGTTAATTAATTTTGAAATGTCCAAACTGTCAAAATTTGCTATTTTTAGAAGATTTACATGACACTGTGTATTTAGTGCATTTATTGTGTACTAAAATTTGTATTTTGATCAATTTTTGATTCAAAAACACCGATTCGAGTCGTTTTTATCGCTTTTAGCCTTTATTGCCAAATCTTAAAAAAATCAAAAATTCATAATTCGACAGATTGCATGATTCTTTCCATACAATTAGTCTAAAAATTCTAAATAGTTGGAAAAAAATTCAAATTTTCAAACAAGAAAATCGGTCAACGATTAATAAAGTTATTTTTTTTTTAGTTGTAGTAGTATAAGCTAGCCTCAAAATTTACAAATAAGGGCTAAAAATTGCTTAAATCCTAATTTTTGGCTAAAATATAGTGATTTCTGCTATTTCCATTCAACCTGGGTTTGTTTTTAAGCAAAAAAATCAAACTAAATCAATGTATTTCAAGAGAATAAATGCTTAGATTGCTACTTTCTGCCAAAATGAAGTCATTTGAGACATTTCCAATACAATTTTGCTCAATTTTAACTCAGAAATCATTCTAAATCAATGAATTTTAACGAAATAATTGTTCAAATTTCAATTTTTGGCCACAATAAAGCAATTTGTGAGGATTAAAACATAAAAATGTAATTTTAGATGAGTTTTTACAATTAAAAACGCGCCAGAACACCGCGTGGCAAAAGCTGTGCGCCTCGAGGCTACGCGAGTAAAATTTTGTGACATGAAATCGGTGGAGTGCAACTTCTGCTTACTAACCTTTATTCTGTGATATGGTGTGACTCCCAAGGTCATCAATAATCACAGAACTAACAAATATATATCGCCAAGCTAAAAAAAAATTACAAGGATTTTTCTGTATGAAAAGTTGAGCTTCATGGCTCTAAATTTATGAGTACGGTCCAGTTGGGTTGTAATATAGATCCTGTTTCTACACAGACATAAAATATTTGTGACTTATTTTACACCAAAGTAGTCAATTCATCAAATTTCTTTTTTTTAACAAAGAAATCTTAGCAATGTTATGTCAGTTGCGTTTGATAACAGCGTCATTTGTGATAACGCTTTATCTCCTTTTTCTAGAGATGGCGCAATGTGTTTTACTTTACGGTCCAAGTTTTCTAGAAGAAAAATTTGGTTTTATCAGTCTGGTATCTGTTATTTTTAATTTTTTATTTATTTATCAAAGAATTTTAATTAATATTTTATCACACTTTTAAAGCAGATGTAAGGAATAGAATATTTTTTTTTTATTTGGAGTGTCAAAATTCACAATTATTCTAAACATCTTTTGGTTTTGTTTATTACTGTTTGAATTTATTCATTCTGATTGGAGCAATCGGCAGCCATCTTTTGTCAAGGCGTGGCTAACTGTAGGTAATTTCAGCGCGAAAAAACGAATCGAAAGTTACGCTTTACTACATAAGGTATAACATTGATTAGGAGATTAACTAAGTTTAGTTATTTATATGCTGCGTCTGGGACATTAATTCTTGTTACACACGCACAAGGAATAAATAAAACATGGGTCGCAAAACTGCACCAAATTGACTAAAATAGCAGTTTTACTTTGTGAATTATGAAACCTCAATGTGTTTAGTGAATTGTTTGTCTTTAATCTCCGGTGTAGTAAAGTTGAAAATTTGCTCGTGAAAAAATATCTAACGACAGGGTTCGCATTAATGATTAATAAAAGTGTGGCGCGGAGTAGGGCGTGTAAAGGACGCAGGCGTCGGTGTTCCAGCGTCTGTTCTGTGTGAGTCAGGCGTCGTCGTAGATGTCGTAACCACAAAATAGCATAATGTCCGGTGTTAAAAATCGCGATGTGATGTCTTAGTGGTCGCCAAAATGCGGAGCAGCAGCTCGGAACTGCTCCTAGATCAGCAAGAGGAGCTCCGTAAACGCAAAATAAAAGAACTAGCGGCGGCGAAAAAGGCTAATAAGCAGGTCGGAGGTCGATCATGTCGCGAGCAGGCCCTTTTCTACTCCACCAGCCTCTTGGCGGTGGTGGCCATGTCGGCGGGCTCGTCCCTCCTGTTCCTAGTGCCGCTGTACGTCGACCCCGCCATCTCCACCTTAGCCTCCAACTTCGTCACCGAGCCGGTGACCTGCGTGACCACCCGACGCGAGGACCTCACCGGGTTGGCCAACTGCTCCTGGAGCTCCTGCCGCGAGGGCTGCACCAGTGACGCATATCACTGCACCCATATCTACGTCAGCTACAACGACTCGGAGGCACACAACCAGACCGACGACGCGGTCCTCCTCGTCAACATCAAGGGCTGCGGGTATCCCCCCACGGTCCTCTGCGTCAACTTCACGGAGGCCTACGGCGCCGAAGGGACTGTTTTCCCGTGCTACCACTCGCGCGAGAACCGCACCGTCGTCCTCACGCACTACGAAAGGGATGAACAGGTGGCCATCATCATCCATTATTTTGCAGTGCCCTTTGTGATCACGCTGGCCACTTCAGTGGCACTCTGTGTTATGCATTGCGACTGCCGGTGTCACCCTACGACTCACCACAAAAGGGCCCGACGACCACGAATACACGACTTGAGCGACGGCTCCATTAGCATAGGAGTTGACTTGAGACATAACACCAGCTATCACTCAGACCTGGTGGCATTTAGGCCTACGTAATTTTTTACCCAAAAGAAGGGAGAGTCGACAATATCACATTTCTTGTCCTTGAAATATGATAACCTGATTACGTAGAAGATGGTTTACAGGACAAAAGGAAAATAAAAACCATTTAATTCGTCGCGACGTTTCGATACTTTTATTGTATCTTCTTCAGGCGAAGAATTTTTCTTGGTTGAGCGTGGGAAGCATGGCACAGTCAACAGTTCTTTTTTTTTCCTTTTGTCATCTACATAATCAGGTTTTGTATTTTCTTCATTCAATGATATATTGACTACACTCCCCTACTATTTTTGCGTTTTACCATTCATCAACCATTAATCAAAAATGTACGGGCTATCGAATGTTTCTTCACATCGATCAGTTACCACAAATCAGCCTAACATGCAAAATTATATAAACATCGTTTGTGTTAGACTATGCTTTCAATACACTCCTTTTATTATAATCAACTGTACAATTTAATTACAACTATTTTTATAAAAAAACACAGATACCTACAATAAGTACCTTACTATAATTTTTTGAAGTGTGTGAATTTTGTTATCAAGAAATGTATTAGATGCTACCTACAGGTTTGAAGTTAATTTTGTATTAAATTTTATATTAAAGTATATTTATTAATAACGAATGTTTGATTTCCTTTAAACACAAGACATAAGGGAGAATAATTGTTTTTCGAGAATCAATAAAGCATTGCCAACTGTGAACGCTCAGTCCTTGAATTGTAATTAAAACCATTTCTCAGTTGGAGCAAAATCTCGATCAGGGTTGCCATGAAAGCATTTACATGGCCAGTTTGGCGAAAAATCGATAGTCACCACCCCAACCCTCGTGTCAGGAGACGAGATGAAGTGTCTCTTATCGGTCTCCCGGGACAGTAAAAGTCAATTTAGTGTGAACTGTTTTATTCATGTACAACATTCAATAATTATATTCTTAGGCAAAATGGAAACATCACATTAGAATATATTTGTGTTATTCTGGAAGTACAATAGGAAAATACAATACTGGCCTGCATTAATGGAAAAGTATCATCTAGTAAGACTAACAATTTATATGACTAGCATAAACACTGACAAGCTTCTCACCCAGCTGAAATATGCAATATTTTTTAATAAACGTGAATATGGTAACTTAATTAAAATATGAGGTGCTACACTGAGTCATTTATCTAGAGAAAAAATGTGAATTTTTCATGATTAAGTACTGAACTTTTCAAGTTATTTCAGTCTCACTTTGACTAACGACTCTAACCCAGTGTAGGTCTTGCACAAATGGATATAAAAGTGTTAAAATATACTACTCCAAAAAATTAAAAGAACAAAAAATTTTCCTAAATTTGGCTGTAACTCATCGAAAAACGGTCGTATCTAGATTTGAAGCTTTAAGTTTCTAGTTTTGAGATCTTTTGGCAAATATTTTTTCTCTGCTACGGTTATCAGTAATAGCGCGAGAAAAAAATTCAAAATTTTCATGTTTTCGTTTTTGGTCCACGGGCGTGGGGATTTTTTTTTTAATTAAGTCAATGCATAGGCCCGATAGCCTATTTGTTTACCTTTAAAACGTTTACTTCATATTCTCTTTACGTTAATTTGTCGTTAAGATATCTGACTTTAAATGAAAAAGGATCCTTTTGTCTTTGATCATCGATATCCCAACAACCAATGGCCACACAGAGAATATAAGGGTAGTGTCAAAAACTGAAATAAATGTTTTATAAGATCCTCTTATGTTTTTTTGGAAAAAGAGAAAAAAGTAATTTTTTGCGTTGTTTAAGTAAATTTACCGCGTATTTACTAATATTGATGGGGCAACTAATGTTTTTTGCCCAATCTTCATCAAGATGAAAAAAGCAATTTTTTTCGACTTTTCTTACAATTTTGCATTAGCTATTTGCTAAAAAAAATAAACAAAAATTGTTTTTTGACTTTTTTTTTGAAAATTTGTAAGAACAATTAAGAAACAATACTGCTTAATTTTTAAAAAACAAATTCAAAAAAATGTTTTATTTTTTTTTTAATTTGTAGAAACAATACTGATTGATTTGAAAGAAAAAAAACAAAAATAAAAAATATTTTTGAATTTTTTTCAAATTTAACTAATACAAAATTTAAAAGAAAGCTGAAAAAATTGTTTTTCTCATCTTGACGAAGATTAGACGATGTTCAGAAACATTACATAGATTTACTAAAACAAAGTAAAAACTTACTTTTTTCTTTTTTCTTTAAATCAATGTTATAAGTGAAAAAACAAAAAATCATAAGAGGATCTTATAAGACATTTATTCCAGTTTTTGACACTACCCTTATATTCTTGTGTAGTCATTGGTTGCTGAGATATTGATGATCAAAGACAAGAAGATCTTTTTCATTTAAAGTCAGATTGACGTAAAAAAATATGAAGAAAGCGTATTAAAGGTAAACAAACATGCTATCTGGCCTATAAATTGACTTAACTAAAATAAAAATTCCCCACGTCCATAAAAATTTAAAATATTTATCTCGCGCTATTACTTAGAATTGCGTGATAACTGTAGCACAAAAAATATTTGCTAAAAGATCTCAAAACTAGAAGCTTAAAGCTTCAAAATGTTTTTTTTTAATCTAGATACGATCATTTTTCGCTGAGTTACAGCCTTTCAAAAATCACCAAAAATTTTTTGTGTTCCGTTAATTTTTTGGAGTAGTGTAAATTACAAGGAAAGCCATAGTACCACAACCTGCATTTGCTTATAGCTTCCTCTGTAATGTGTTAACTAATGTGAATGTTTCATAAAATAAAAAAATTAAGTAAAAAATAAAATAACATAGATACTTAAATGTTCCATAACAAATCATGTAAAACGGCAACATATCGATATAATATTGATTACTTCATATAAAAATATAATTAAATTTAGCAACAACCTTATGTACATCTTTGGTTTATACTTTACTTTCTGGTCCTGTAGCAACGTGGTAGAACGAAGTTACAATGTTAGCAACAAAGAGGGCACATAAATGTCCGTAATTTTTTTGATACCATTCCGGTGTTTTTCCCCTAAAAAAACAAATTAGTGGAGGTAGCAAAACCCAGTTGCAACATTTACATCGAATCAACACGGGACAAGTGTAGTAATTTCGAGCGTCCGGACCCGCAGGGTTCAATCAAGTATCTGGAAGCCAAGACAATCCCCCTCACAGTATTGGGAATGGGGACGGCATCCTGATGCTCAACCGACGTCTCAATAACCAAACAACTGTCTTTGGGGAGATCAGTCCTCCAAGTCCGCACCACGCAATACTCTTCATTCGGCAAGGGCACGATTTTGCGCCGTACAAATTGGAAAACTTCGCAATTTTGATCAATTTGAGAGACTATTTTAGCCGAGTGCAACTCAGGATCCCAAATATGCCTCTCCCGGATAATTCGGTGCAAAACCTCAAGTGGGGGCGCTTCAACCTCGGCGGAAATCTTCCAAAGTCGGAGAGGGTGACCATCGGCCACTTTCTTGTACGATATCTCGACTTTTGGATTGTGACTGGAAACGATAATCCAACCCCGGTTTCGCTCCTTGACTTCTCTCAAAAGCGCCTTCTGACACTCCTGGAGATACTCCCTCCAACCTCCTATGTTTTTCCCCAGTTCGGATAATTTCACCGCTTTGCTTTCCCTAAACTCGCTTGATTTGCATTGATTTACAAACTCCTTTGGCACCTGTATTTGTCAATTAGGAAAAGTCAGTTTCGATTAAGACTAACCTTAAATAGTGTGTTGTAATTCTTGAGAAAGTAGAGCAAACAGTCGTGGCCGGCTCTAGTCTCCGCGAGTTCTTTCGGATGAGGAGAGCCAAAGTTTTGCTTGAAAGAACTCTGGGAGTAATGAAAGAGAGAAGGGGCAAAACATAGGGCAAGATTGCTTTCATTCATTTGATTGGTAGTAGCATGTTCGGCGATCTGTAGTAAAAAATGTAAAAGGAATTGGAGGACTTCCACATGTTCATCGGGCATTAATAGAATAGCACAAAGGACTGATTCACGTCGCAAATATGGAGGAACATCTACAAGTTAATTTTTTCAAATCGTTCAAAAAATATCAAAAAACATACATTGAAAAATTAAAATAAAAGTTTCAGAAAGCTTGTTAGTGAGAAGAGTTTCTGGTAATTCTCGAAAATATTGCTTAATCATATCCGCAACATCGTATGATTGTTGGTCATTATAATTCAATATTTCGGTGGTAGCATCTACCATGTTTCTTAAAAGTTGTATACGTGATTTGACCCCAGATTTGCGAAAAAGTCCCACATGGTCGGCCGCGTTCTGATGGAGCCACTGAAGCGCCTCTTCGATATTCCTCGGAATCGACTGACCTGTCCTTTGAAGCATGATAGTGAGAGGTACCCCAAAAATTGACCTATCTGTGATAAAAAAATCAAAACTGGTGTGACACTAAACGCGTTGGTCACCTTTATAAGCAGGGCTTTTCATTTTTCGGATAAATTTCGGTAAATCCCAGTTCCAGCCCGTTCTATGTGACGGACAATGTTTTTCCATATGCGCTGTAAGTTTCAAAAGTGCTAATTTTCGGAGGACTTGTAATTGCGTACATGAGAGACTGAACATAGAAGGACCGCCATTTTCTAAATTGACTGATTTTTGTGGCAATTGTTCTTCTTCTTGTGGCAAAGCATGCCATAAAACTCTATGGTAAAATAGAGATAAAAAAAATTCCGCGCTAGAAATACACTACCTGTCATCTGATGAAATCTGTGAGGTCAACCATGAATCGGTGTTATCGAATGACTTGGTTCTTTGACTGCGCTTGGGAGTACATTCAGAATCAGAAATATGATTCAATTCACACGTTTTTAGGTCAGCCAATTGATTGGTGATTGAATCAAGTCGGTCGAGAAGTGGTGAACCTCCTTCGCTGAAAACAGTACCATCTCTCCTCCTCCGTCTGAATTTCGTTGAACCAGCCCTTCTTAACTTATCCCTCGGACTTTCAGTACATTCCTCAAAAACATCATCTTTCTCTTGTGAGTTTTTCTCCGGTTCTTTGCAAGCACGTGACCATCTTCTAATATCGGTCTGGTAGGTCCAATTGTCGCTAAGGGCGCAACATTCGTCTTCGGATTCGTCGGTGTTGTGCGTGATCCTCTGTTGGTGCAAATGGACACAACTGTTGAGGATTTGCAATCGTCGAAAGAGTGAATGCAACACGTCGGGTTCTAAAAGAGGATGATCTTGCGCGACGGTTGAAAGATCGATGGGAAACTGGAGATCTATAATTGTATTTGTAGGAGTGCACAACTGGGGGTGAGGAAACTCTACCTTCGTACATTTGGGCATATTGGGGGAATCCCGTCGCTCGTAGCCATTTGCACGCTTCCGCGGCCTCAATTTCTGAAAAAGAAGGGCGTTATTTGAGAAGAGGTGTTGAGGGACCGGAGGCAAACAGTCAAGCAGCCAGCAACAAACCTGCGATTTTGTGGTTTCGCATCTGCCTCCATAGCTGCTCGGCCTTGCGCACCGGCCAGTTGTCATTTACTTTAACACTGAGACTACGGAAGAACTTGTATTCTTTGATACGGATGGACATATTGCATGTACTCACCAGCCAGGTGTCGGTCCGACTGTGATCGGGATTGTTTGCTCACCTGAGAATACAGAATCATTTATGCATGACTACTCATGTAGATAATAAGCTCAAAGGCTCACGTACGCATGATTACAACTAACTAACCTTGATGGGCACCTTCTTCAAAACAGGTGCCGAAGAAGACTTAGTACTTAGGATTTGTTGCCAGTTTGGCTTGTAACTCCAAGTCGATAATTGGGCCTTACCATCGGCGGACGAGGCTGATTGGGAATCCTCATCGATTAAATCGTTGTCGGACATGCAAGTCAAGCAAGGGGATGATGAACACTCCGATGCCCATGTTAAATTCGTAGACGTTGGAGATAAAGAAGGAGATGTTTGGGTAGCTACATTTGTACGATTATTGTCAATGACAATCTAAAATGACTTTTTAATAAACCAAAAACTTTCCTTCCCTTTCAACAACTCACGGAACCTAGTATCGAATCTTGAGTTTTGTGGCTAAATAAATCACTGTCTTTATTTACAATTGATACATTTTCGCTATTTGAATTGAGGTAATCGGAGTTACTGTTGACTTTATTATTGACACTGGTATAACTGACCTCATTTCTAATTTGTTTTTCTGAATACCTTGACAGTAATTCGGACAAATCCGACTTTATGGTCGCGTTAATTTGGAACAAAAATGGGTCCAATTCGTAGTCTGTTTTATTCTCGTTTTTGACAATATCCTCCTCAGGGAGTGCTGCAGACTCAACACTACCATTTTCAAAAACTTGAGTTATTTCGTTCTAAAAATAAAAATAAAATGACATTCAAGTCATAGATAGCCGTTTATAGGTTGGGTCCTATAACTTTTAAATTATTGCCAATTGAATGCAAAAAATGCTAATATTGTGTGGGCTTCATTATGTCATTCTAGAGAGATAAAAGACTCTTGACATGTAAATTTTTATCGAGGTGTCAACCGTAGAAAAAATCGGTATACAAAATTGGGAAAAGCAGAGGAAATCATGTAAAAAAATCATTAAAAAATGTGATGCGCAAGTAGGTTTTTGTTTATTTGTTGATCAATCTTAAGGGAATAAGAGGAAATCATAAAATTTAGAAAATAAAGGAAATTATAAAGAAATCAGAGAAAATCATTAAAAATGGGCATCAGCATTTTTTGTCTTTTTCTGACATGTAAATTTTTATCGAGGGGTAAACCGCAGCGAAAATCGGTATACAAAATTAGGAAAATCAGAGAAAATCATGCGAAAATCATTAAAAAATGTGATGCGCAAGTAGGTTTTTCTTCAGTTGTTGATGAATCTTAAGGAAATAAGATGAAATCATGAAGAAATCAAAGAAAATCAAAGCAAAAAAATCGGAAGTACAAAATTTGGAAAATCAAGAAGTAATTATGAAGAAATCGGAAAAAATCATTGAAAAATGCGCATCGCCATTTTTATTATTTTTTTTTTGACATGTAAATTTTTATCGTGGGGTAAACCGCAGAGAAAATCGGTATACAAAATTGATAAAATCAGAGGAAATCATGCGAAAATCATTTAAAAATGTGTTGCGCAAGTAGGTTTTTGTTCATTTGTTAATAAATTTTAAGGGAATGAGAGGAAATCATGAAGAAATCAAAGAAAATCAAAGCAAAAAACTCTGAAGTACAAAACTTGGAAAACCAGAGAAAATTATGAAGAAATCAGAGAAAATCATTAAAAATGCGCATCAGCATTTTTTATTATTTTTTTTTGACATGTAAATTTTTATCGAGGGGTAAACCGCAGAGAAAATCGGTATACAAAATTAGGAAAATCAGAGGAAATCATGCGAAAATCATAAAAAAATGTGATGCGCAAGTAGGTTTTTGTTCATTTTTTGGTGAATCTAAAGGGAATAAGAGGAAATCATGAAAAAATCAAAGATAATCAAAGCAAAAAAAAACTGGAGTACAAAATTTGGAAAAACAGAGGAAATTATGAAGAAATCAGAGAAAATCATTGAAAAATGAGCATCAGCGTTTTTTATTATTTTTTTTGACATGTAAATTTAACCCGCAGAGAAAATCGGTATACAAAAAATCAGAAGAAAGCAAGAAAAATTATAGAAAATTAGACAAAATTATTGAGAAATGCAATATGCACAGGGTTTTTGTCCATTTGTTGACAAATTAAGGAAAATCTTGGAAATAAAAGGAAAACACAAAAAAAATCAAAATGATGGAAAAACCAAGAGGAAAACAATAAAGCAAAAAGAAAATCGGTTGTACAAAATTCGAAAAATGAGAGGAAATCATGAAGAAATCAGAGGAAATTATTGAAAAATGTGCATGAGCAAGTAAAGTTTTTTATTCGTTTGGTGTAAATTAGGGAAATTTTGAAGAGATCAGGAGAAATCAAAGCAAAAAAGAAAATCTTCGGTCTTTATTAATACTCTTCAGTTTTATCAGTATTAGTTTTTCATTCATATAATATGGTAAGTTATTCATTACGTTTTTATATACATTGGGAGTAACAGCAGTTTAACGATGTTACATTTAGTACTATAGCAGATTTTTATTTATTTAAAATAGTCTTAGAGTAGTAATAAAAGTGCTACAATAAACAAAATCATAGTGTTGCAATGTTTTACAAATTTTCACTACTTTAATCTTGCGTGGGAGGAAATCTGGATTAAACAAGGGAGTTCGTCTAAATAGCACTTTTGTGTTTTCATTTTCCACAACGTACAAATCCAAGAAAGCCAGAAAAAGGACATCAGGAACGCAACAACGAGTTGTGAGTGACAGAACATTAATAAATTCCCATACTCCCTTGGCTAATCCGCAGTGACCGGAGGCCGTATTACCTTGCGAGCTCTAGAGGATCTCCAGGAGTATATTTAAGGGAAAAATGACCCTCTCTGGCCAGTAGAATTTTCCTTAGGGCCGAACACAATGCATGTTTCGATAAAATGGCTCCTTATACTAACTCTAACGGGCGTACATGTGATTAAAAAATCAGTGTTTTTAGCAAAGTTCTAATTGGCATTTTGCAGGCTCAAGAACCAAGAAAAAAAAACGGCCGCTACTCGTCTGAGGAGCCGTTCGTCGTGGAACAAAGCGCCGACTACGTGTCGTGTTCAATCGGCAACTGTGTGAAAAGGTCGTCAGGACAGGAAGAATTTGGCCCGTTTTGGGCCAATCGAGGTAAAAAAGACCCAACTTACATCAGAAGCAAATTGTTTGCTGAAGAACCGCAATGGATTTTGGTGCGTCAAGATGAGAAAGATATCAACGACAACGAACCCTTTTATGTGACACGAGGCAAAAAAAATCCGGATGAAGAACGGAAATTATTTTGGAAAAATTTCACCAAGAAACGGAGCTACGATCTACTGTAAACACGAGCGAAATGAGAAAAGTGTTGATTTTCCATAGATAAACAATTAGTGTTTAGTTTTATCAATCTTAATGGTAATGCATATTAATAAATGAAACCACCCACAGAGACATTTAGTTCAAAAGAATGTTAATTGATGACACATTTACTAAACTTGGGCTAATTAAAAAAGTATGTAGTAAATAAATAGTGCACACATTTTAGTACTTACTTTAGCACGTTCCAAATAGAGCTCTAGCTCTTGATACGGATCACACAAGCTCATCTCCCTCTTTCCTCACCACAGAAAAACCTTCTGAGACATGGTCTCTACCTTTAACAAATTAAATAATTGCAATTGCAATATTGACGCAGTTGCATGTGCTAAGAGACTAAGCTAATAACTAACAGATTGTCGAAAAATATCACCTACAATCACTCTCAGTAAACCTAATTAGCCTAATAGGCTATCTCGCACTCTTTCTAAATAAAAACGTCGAATAATAAATGTCTACAAAGTCGAGGTGCTATTTTTTGTGATTATGCTTGCTATTTTAGGCTTGTGACATAATATAGCACCTTTTCCAACAGGTTTCAAAACGAATTAGAAATCAACCTTTTATAATTTTGACGACAAATAAAAGAAAATATTTATTCAAAAGATGTTATGTAAAGTCAATGTCAAACAAAAAACGAGATTGGAAAGTCCAAGTACTCGCCACAAGCTGTAACAAAATTTTTGATACCTTAATTGATCTCACAACGGATAATTCTATACTATTATGAATTCTACACGTACTTGATAATACCAATGTCAAGGATTCGAATGTTACAACAGTGTAATCAATGTTATTTACATTTAATTGTTTAATTTGCTTCGATTTATTTTTATTGAAAATAGGCCGGAAATAAGTTAATATCGCGCCAAGCCAAAACAAATTATTTGTAATCTTATAAACGCAATTTTCTGTTGTTTGTTATTGCTATTGTCAAAAGTGGCCACCAAAAGCACAATTTCCCCATACATAATCTTAACAGGAAAATATTTTTAAAAATCGTATCAAGGGCATTATCGTTGTGCTAACAAAAGGGACGTAATCGCGATAATTTATTGATTTTCACTCACTAGGTAAATACAAGACCATTTGGTAATAAAATGGCAATATTTCCGGTTTCTGATTAGAATTTGCAATGTGAAATATTTCCGTTTAAACACGGGAAAACTATTTCATTCAATTAACAATTGTGTAGTAGATTTTTCCGTACTTTTAGCGTTTAATTGGCAACACCTGACACGCAAAAGTAATTTTGATTTTTGTTTTAACAATTTTTAAAATAATTTAGAATGACATTTGACGCGATATCCTTCAGGATGTTTTTATTTGCCAAGAAATTTTACGAGCACCTAATGAAATATTTACATTAATTATTTACTCAAGCCTCGCATAGAGTGACTACATAATTTATTTTTAATTTGTTTTGTTCTCGTATTCAGTGTTTTTTGTGTGTTAGCCAAGTCATCATAGAAGAATTAAACATGTGGTTTCGAGTTAGAAGAAATGGTAACCTCGAATGCTTATCAGAATTATGTATTGACTTAAGTTTTATGGGCAACCATACAATATGAATTTCTAAAAACTTCAAAAAACGTAGGTATATGCCTACATGAACTGTTATCTAAAATACATAATTGTGTAACTTAGGAACAAGTTTCGCGGGTACCTAGATAATCAATCCATACTTACTAAGTGTCTTGGAGTTGGTGGTTCTCAGTGATTTGTAAATTTTGGCACTTGGTACTTGGAACTGGTAAAAACACGAGCATTCTGAGTCAATGCAACCACAAACCGCATTCCCACCAACCAAATTCGTCACCGACCAAACTCTGTATTATCTTCGACTAACTGACTAAACAAACAAGTGACGTACCTCCAGCAGACAACCGCACAACTAACAATAAAAACACAGAATACAAAAGTGGCAACTGGCAAAGTGGGCAAAGTTGAACGCTGAAGTGGGAGGCTGGGAAGGGAAACAGGATGGAAATATTTCAAGTGAAATATAAAATAGAATAAGAACAGTGGTATAGGCCACGAGAGGCAGCCTGGACACCACCTGTTTCCCTAAAAACAACGCTCAAACACTTGGACTTGCATGTTACAACACACTTGAAACATCTTTGACAATTTCATAATAATATATCACTTAAGACATGAAGTGAAAGTCGACGCAACCACAACCAGCGGGCACATTCATTCAACACTGAAAATTTATTTAGCTATTTTAATATTCCCATCAGCCTCCCAGTCACAATCAACGAATTTATATTCTGTATACAACTCGAATACCATAAAACATTTGTTTTCATAAACACACTTAAAGTCGGGTTCAAACCCCCAACAAGTTTTTTACTTTTATTACTATGAAATTTTTTGATTAGTTTTACGCACGCACCAGAGGAATTTCAACAATTTAGTGTCCTTCTACCTGCTACCATAAAAAGGCTCCAAACTTTAGGATAAATCACCCATGCATAATCCTACGTCAATATTTGACACAAGTTAATGGGCATTATTTATTGTTAAATGACTCAAAGCCGTTCGCTATACCAAAACAGGACGCAATAACATAAACCGGAAGCATTTTTGACACTCATTTTCCACCATCTGGTCGCACATTATGAATAAAATAATCCAGAAATTTTAATAGATTCCAACTCCTACATTCCTCAATTTTACGGTAACTTTCAAATTTCAGGTTTTATACCTTGATCGATGAATGTAGGTAATGGATGAGTCACACCATGTACAGGTGGTTTTGCTCAGAATTAAATAGAAAACATGCGGTTTTTCTTTTTTTTTTTTCAATAGGTGCGGTCAGGAAGAAACACAGAAACGTTTTCATAACTAATTATAATTCCCAGCCTTCAATTGGTAATTAAAGATGTTGCGAGAAAAGTGCTTGTTGTAGGTGTTGTTACAACAGAACGTTCACTTTTGTTCGAGCTGTCAAAACAAGTTAATTAAAAAATCAACAAAAGTGCGAAAGTTACATTACAAAATATGAATGATGTCACTAATTAAACGTCTAATAGAATTTACTACACTATGCCAACAAACAAATTAAAGGTCATGTCGGGTTCAACCCTCAAATAAGTATTGTAGAAATATAAAAGTTTAAATGTCGAAGAATGTAACTCGATATGTATGAATGACATGTGTGTGAACACGAATACTCTACATCATATTTTACATCTCCAGTTACTCGAAATAAACTCGACAATAAAACTAAACGCCAGAAAGTGTGCAATAAAGAAAACAGGCAATTTAGTTAAGTAGTTACATAAATTTTATAAGCGTTTAGTATAATTATGTCGTAATTATATTTAATACAGCTGGATAATAACGCGAGTCTAACATTTCTTGTTACTAAGACACTTATAGATAAATTCTTTTAATTTTTTCCGACAGAGCAATAATTCATCTCTTAATTATCTCAATGCTAATGAATCATTTATTAATCCATTATAAGGGTGGATCCGCTCCAATTAAAAAATCATTTCTTGACTGCGTAAATTCCGTGAATTTCTAATTTATAAATAAATATACAAGTTCAACTTCGTTATCAATAAACTGAAAAGTTTATTGACAGGGATAAAGATAACGGTAATAAAAATAGTAACAGTTTTGTACGGATGAGTACAATGTCATTCAGAAAAAAAGAGAATTATACAGTCAAAAGTATGTTATTATCATCTCTGTAGACCATATCAGCCTTGTTTTTTTTCCATTGCAGATCAATAGTTTGAGCTATATTTAAAATGATCGCAGGGTTATGAGAGTATATATTGCAATAAAATTAGATGCGAAATAACATTTCGTTTGAGTTTCATAATTTACACTTATTCAATCGCTTAATTTTTTTCTTTTGTGTGGTAATATACATATTATGGGAGAGGGTTAAAAAAAGTCGTATTTTTTTCATTAGGTACTTATTTATTTTACTGAGGTGTATTATAATAAACGCTTTATAAAAATAATATAAAAAACATTTATTGTCGTGTCTAGCTACGAAAAATAAAAAATGTATAAAAAAATCTCAAGCCACCTTTAGGGCCACAGCAATTCGATATTTGGAGATTGCATTTCCTCAAAAACTTGATACTGGGAGTAAACGACTAACCAACAATAACCCTGCAAAAAAACATTGAAAAATGTGTAACTTTTAGAAATATGTTTTTATTACATTGTAAGTCATCCAGCACCAAATTACGAATGTATGTAAAACAGTTTCAATCTGAAAAAAAAAATATTTTGTTAATATTTATTTGTACACAAAATAGTGTTTTTTCTTACATAAATATAATAGCCTCCAAGTAACCATAACCCAAATACTAATTGGAATAAAACAACAATCCCAAAGGCAATTAACCATGGCAACATCATACCACGGTTCATTTTTTGTAAACCAACAACCAAAATAATAGCTGAGGCTATGAGTAATATAAAATAGACCAAGAGGCATCCTCCAACAACTTGCATTGCTAATAATAGAATTTAATAAATATAAATATACCAAATATAAAAAAATCAATTTGAAGCCAGTTATACGAGCCCGCCTTTTTTCAAACATGGATGATTTAACCTCAATTCTGGCTTCAAATTAATTGAATTATTTTAATGAATTCACTTACAGTAACGAATATCTGCCTCAAATAGTGGATTATATAATTGTGTAGAGTCGCCCCCAGACATGTCAAAGACAATAAAAGTCATAACAACGATACTCATTGCAACTGTGTAAAAGGCAATAACTTTGCAACTCGTCTTCAAATCATTGGTCCAAATACATGGGGACCAACAAGAAGTTAATAACACCATTTTGTTAATGTTTTTTGATTAATTTGGACGGAATCAATTTAGGAGATTTATGCAGCAGTGTTTTAATGGCACAGTGGAATGAATAATCAATAGTCTAGTAAAAAGTTCGCCATGTAGTTTTCCTAAAAATAAATAACGGCCTGAAATAAAGGATAAAGAGTGATTTTTTAGTAAAAAAGCCTTACAGTTTTTCTAACATGTCACACCCAATTTAAATTAACACAACACAAAACACACTCCAGCCTCAAACGTAAACATGTTAAACCACGCCTACTGTAACTGACAATGCGGAGGTGCCACCTCGGTGCAAAATTCGCAAGCAGAAGAAAGCAAAAACGTTTCGAGGTTTTTACATTGCTCCTTTTTTTGGATTGTCCAAAGTAAAATAATTCAAAGTAAAAGTGTCCACCGTAAAATGATACAAAGAAAAATCAGCATTTCACGCAAGAATAAAAAGAAAAATTGACTGATATCAAACGAATGTATAAAAACAGCAAATTATATCGACTGTTGTCATAAAAAATTGCATTAAATTAAGAAAAACTACTTTATAAGATTCATAAAAACTACTTGGTAATTTTGTTATCAGGTTGGTACTGCAAAGAACACCAAAATCTTTGGACATTTTCACGGTGGACAAAAATACGGATGCTCATTTTACTTTGGAGAGAAATACTTTGGACAAAATTGAGCTCTCCCCTTTTTTTTCAATAGAAATACGTATGACAATGAATATTATTAGGTGTGCCAAATAACTAAAAAATTCAGTTTCTTCTGGTCGAAAATGCAACACGGCGAGTTTTAAAAATGGCCGCCCACAATATTGCGCGCAATTCAAAATTGTTTGTAGTGTATTTTCAATAATTGATTGCAAATGAAACCGGAAGCTAACTTTATTAGGTCAGAGGAAAAAACCTAGTGTTTTATTAATTTTTCCATTGATAAAGCAAACGTCTATCATTTCCGCATGTTTGAAAAAAACTTTGTTTGTGTCGCAGTATATAATTAATGATTTGAAACCGTTTGAAATTTTAACAATGCAATTAAGTGAACTTCACTTTATTTCTTGAGAGGAAATGAGGAAAAACAAAATTTTTGTAATTATCGACTACTGTGTACCCTTTACAAAGATAAAATTAATTTGTTAAATGTCAGACACAATATTCAAAAAAACCTTGTGGAAATTTTAATTAAATGAAGATTAAACCGAGCTAATTAACGTAATTGCTTGAAGCGTTTTTTTGAAGTCAGACGGGAAATGTGTGGGAGATGAAAAACTCATTTTTCTTTGTAGAAAAAGGTTTTATTGATCGGGGGCTAGTCTAGAAACAGTTTCGTATCCAAAGTGATGAATTATAAAACGTCATGTCTTTCTAGGAAACGGTCATGTAGTACGGGGTTAAATGTGATATAGAGTCATTGTAGAGCACAAGTAGTTGATATTAGGTATAATATATTGATTGAATCAACAGCTGGTGGGTGTGTGCGCGCGAAGGAAAATCGGATTGGTGTGGAACCGTTACGCAGGTAGGTACGTACCGGTTTCCCAGTATAAAATAATACTAGGTGACGAGGAGGGTGGTATTGTAAGCTGTGTCTTCTCCGTCCCCAGTAGTTGAGCCCCAGCCATGGTTAGGGTGGCGTTCTCGCCGCACCCCTTACTGCTGGTCACATTAGTGGTGGCTGTATGTGCGTCGTTTCCTTATGCCGTTATGGCAATAGACCTTAGTAGACTTTATGGACATATCAGTTCTAAACGCAATGGTAAGAGTCGCACTTAACCGATCAATAATGTCATCGCTATGCACTTATGATTTTAGGAGACGCCTGCCACCCTTATGAGCCTTTCAAGTGTCCTGGGGACGGAAACTGCATATCAATTCAGTATCTATGTGACGGAGCCCCCGACTGTCCCGATGGATACGACGAGGATTCCCGTTTATGCACAGCTGCAAAACGACCACCAGTTGAAGAAACTGGAAGTTTTCTTAAATCATTACTAGCAAGTCACGGACCAAACTATTTGGAAAAATTATTTGGGAATAAAGCACGAGATGCATTGAAACCTCTTGGGGGAGTTGATAAAGTTGCAATTGCGTTATCAGGTGAGTTTTATGGAAGTTTTTTGGTTTGGTTTAAGTAAGTTTTGTTTTGGTAGAGTCACAAACGATTGAGGATTTTGGAGCAGCACTTCATTTAATGCGATCTGATTTGGAACATTTACGTTCAGTATTTATGGCTGTTGAGAATGGAGATTTAGGAATGTTGAAATCGCTTGGGATCAAAGATTCGGAATTAGGGGACGTGAAGTTTTTCTTGGAGAAGTTGGTGAATACTGGCTTTTTAGACTGAACTATACCAGACCCTGCTGCTGTCTTCTTTGCCCACCCCCAACCACACTTGCCTTTAAGCAAGTCCTTTTACTCTTACCTTCCTTACTAAATCTGTCTGTCTATCTTCGAAAGCAGCAGAGTCCGCAAGATCCGTCCCCATCTGCCCCCTTCTTCATAAATCCCCCTCAACTGTCTCAGAGGGAAGATAATCACAAAAGCAACGGCCAAGCAACCAGACTTATGAATACATATCAAGCACCAAGGTATACTTTGGAATACATCACATCACATATCATTAGTTTTAAATTAGGGAATATATCTTAGATTTAAAATAAATATAAAAGGTGTGATCACAAACTACAACGTATAGTTTCTTACAATGTTTCAATCTCTCTGGATGTTTTTAATCAATTTAATGCTCGACACTTGCGTTGAGTGATATACTTGATCGTTCAAACTGTATAGGTAATAATTGTGATCACTTTAAGATAATAAAAATGACTCCCAATACAATTAGTGTGGCACTAATCAAGTACATCGCGAGGTGTATGAAAATATACCGGCCGGTCCGGCAGCCCCTCAATCACTCAATGCGAATCTTTTTGTCGTACATGGTGCAGGACGACACTGCAGATTCCCTTAGCATTGTTTAATTAGATAATATTGTGTGTGAGGCAGTGGCAATCTGCATGGAACTCCAGCTGGGGCCAGGCTTCGCGCGTTTAAAGGGCCTGACGCGCCCCCCTGCCGTCAACTGAATCTCCATTTTGCCATTGCAAATTATGCAAATATTGTGATTTCTCTGTACATATCATTAGGAAGGGCGAAAGACGCACCTTTAAGCTGAGATAACGACCTGACATTTGCCAACTACACGCTATAGGTGCGTCTTTTGACTTAAACGTCCGCACAATCACATCTGCACGAGATATTAAAATTAAAATATATTTTTTCGACTGGTAGTGAAGATGTTTGTGTTCTGTGTGCGCCGAATTCTCTATCGAAGGTTATCTGGATTGAAATATTTTACATAAAAGGCTGGTTCATTATGTATACATATCAAATGTTTTTTAATAAATAAATATATATATTATATATACATATAATCATGACACAATTAAGTTGTGAGGTAGAATTTCTAATTAAATAAATATATTATCAAATAACTCTAGTCTTTATTATCCAATCTCATTCTACACTTGAAAATAGATGACTATGTGTGGGGGCAGATCGTAAAACTCATATTTCACCCGTTTTATGTCCAATTTAACTCCCACCTGAATCCAATTTTCCGCTGTATCCGATTTATGACATTGTTATCTCGGCAAGAATATTACGTTTCTTCAAAACGGGTGGCGAAAAAAGCACCAAATTATGTAAAAATGATGTTTATTACCATGTAAGCACAGTTCTTGCAAAGTAAACTTATAATTAACTTAGAGATATCCAAATATTGGAAGCCACACTTTCTTTATTATTTTCAAAACATTTATCATTAGAAAAATAACAAAAATAGAATGGTTACAAATATGTAAAACTTTTCATGATTGCTTAAATTTCCCACAGTGCAAACAGTGCTCCTACCCACATATATAAATTCAATTCTTGTTGGCAACGACGTAACAGTAATAAAAAATAAAAAATTGAAAATAATATATTATTACAGCGAAAATTGGAAAAGTAAATTCATAAAAAAATAACATTATATGAACAATATAAATTAAATAAAAAAGAATACTTAAATTGATTCCGTCGGGCTTTGGAACTCAGAAAGAGCATGAATTGGATTCTGAACTTTCTTCTGAGACCCTTTACGGACTTTGGCTCGAACTTCTTCAGGCTTTTCTGGCCTTACTAACGGCTTCTTTTCCGGTGCTTTCATCTTCCAGACAACAATAGGCGACTAAATAAAAACATGTCAATAACAAAAAACCCTCAACCAAAACCACACATACCGAAATTGTTCCCTGTCGCGGATATTTAGTCGACGCTACATAAGACGCCTTTACCGTCAATACCACAGCATTCATGAGATTCTTTGCAGCTTGGATAAGTGAAGTGGCACTGTCAAGACCTGAAACTATCAATTCCCCACTTATATTCTGAACATCGGCCTTAACTTTCGACGTAATATTCATTTGGTGACAATACAAAGCGATGCGTTGCAAATAAGCCAAAAGATCTTTCTTAGTAGAACTCTCAGGACACTGCTCTGCAATTTGTCGTGTTAATTTATCGAGTTTTGTTCCAGCTTCCGAGATTTTTTTCGCTGCGTTGATGACATCCATTGTGGTTTTGAGAGGACCACGCCCACTAAAACAATTTATTAGGAGAAATCAAACTGTGGTTTAACCCACCGTGTAAAATCTGTCATTTCCATCATAATCATGCACATATGTTTAGCTAAAACAATGATATCATTTCCTGTGTCGTCCCATTTTGCAACTTCTCGATCGAATTTGAGTTTCTCGCTCCGGAAATATTCCACTTGTTGTAGGATTTTTTGTTTGTCTTCTTCAGGCATTTTCCCCATTGCTTCCTACAAATAAGGGGATATATAAATTGTGGGTTGTGAAAAGTTCTCAACTTACTCTAGCTGTGGTAATACCACTGATATCAGGGTATTCGTCAACGCCATGTTCACCAGTATGAGCACTCGCTATAAAAAAAAAATGAATGAATAAAGTCAAAAAATTAAATAACGTACATTTGCTGCGTGTTTCCAAAGTATAATTTTCGTCCAGTTCTACATCTTCGGGGTCTAAGTCTTCATCAGCCTGTAACAAATCGTGAGTTTTGTTTCGTCAAGTGTTTTTTTCTTACTCTATTCATCAGGACGGCTCTTCTAATTTCACGCACTCCATCGTAAACCAATCGCGATGCGTCGATAAAGTCATTCTCGTCGACCTCTTTAGTAGGAATACTAGATAAAGCTTGAACAGCAACTTGGACCCTTTGACTAAATTTGGGCATAACTTGATCGTTTAATACTTTAACGGCTTCCAAAACACGCTTGGTGTAAATACAAGGTTCATAATTGTCCATTTCAGCAGTGACAACATTACAGACACGATTTGAGCGCCCTCTAATACCCCCTGCGGTCCTATCTAATGTATCAGCATCACCTTCTTGCAACGCCAAGACACACTTATTCACATCTTCTAAAATATGATTTTCCGATACAGCCAAAAAGTCATCAATTGTTGTAATATCGTCAACTGCTTCAGTCAAAATCCGGACTTGATTCTCCCATGATTGTTTAAAAGCGTCCATGTTTTCTTGAGCAACTTTGCTTCGTGGTCGCGCTGCTAGAATTCTAGCAGCATTGATTACCTCAGGACACAGATTGTCAATCTGTGCAGCTGCATAACGAACCATTTTGACACCATCTTCATTATTCGACATGCTGCACACCAAGTTGGCCACTTCGACGAGTTTATTCGAGTGTTCGGTAAACATGACGGCAAACTCCTCGACTTCCTTCTCGTTACCGTTTTGCGCGGCTTTAATCAAAACCAAGAGAGGAACGTTGGTTTCGAGAAAACTGTCAGAGACGTGGTCGACGACAGCTTTGCGTAGTTGCCGTCTCAAATCTCGTGTTTTTCGCCCCATATTGTCAATGGCTCGGTTCAAGCTTTCACTCTTTTCTTTATTTCCAATGTTTGACATGTATTCGGAAAGCAAGTCTTGAAGAGCTTGACGAACAGCGTTACATTCTGCAACTATGCGTTCCCGTCTTTCGTCTCGAGTGCAACTAGAGTCGGCCATAAGAGCAGCCCCACTAATGATACTCTCTAGACGCTCCTCTAGAGACGGTCTTGTGTGAACCTCGTTGTAAGCCAACGGTTCCATGACCATATGGTCGTCAAAATCGTCAAGAGCTGCCGCCAATTCGCCGGGACCATCATATGGTCCTGTGGCCGGCTGTGGAGTCCTTCCTTGAGCTACATCATTAATCGTATTGACTGCCTCACAAACTTGCTTCAAGACATAATCCCGGTTTGCTTTCGCGGCTGCCAACTCAGGATGACGGACATAAACCTTCGAAGCAGTCAGTAACATAGTGGAATGTTTTTTAAGTACAGCACGAGCAGCAGCTAAATCATCCCTCAATTGAGGATCCTTCAACTCCTGTTGACGTTTAGCAGCCTGATTCATCAGTTCATTGGCATTCTGACCAAACGCCTTGATATTATCTAAAAGTTCGCCTTGACTTGAGGCATTTTTCAGTTTTTCGATATCGTTTTCCACCACGTGGAGCGACTTGAGCAAGAGATGAACATCGACCATGTCAGCCAAAATCAAAAGACGGGTTACCGCAGAAAGGAGATTTCGGGCAGCACGCACCATGTTACCCCGTTTCAGGGAGGAGCAAGGATCCTCGGAGAACTCACGAGCGGCGATACTCATCGCGTTACCGGTTTTGCGAACTTCCTCAACAGCAGAGAGCATCTCTTGAGTTATATCGGGATTTTCGTAAGCGATTTGCTCGCCTTTTTCGATGAAATTCTCCGTGGCTTTCTCCACAGTGCTTACAAGAGCATTCGCTCGCTTTGATTTGCCCTTCTTCTTCTTGCTGGGGCCCTTGGTGTTCACAAGTGTCGTCACTTGTAAAACCAAAGGCTCCAACGTCTTTTCGACTGACATTGTCCTAATTTCTAGATTTTTCGGGTCCCACTTTAACCCAAAATGATCATTCATTGTGGCAGATCTAGAACCATGATTTTGGGTTGAATGAGTTTTTTTCTCATGACAAGTATAGTTCTGATTGTTATGTGTATGAGAAATATACACTTGTAATTATATAAATTTCAGACAAAAAAGTGAAATTGATTAAAACAGTGAAATGAGTAATGCAAAATGCATTTATTTTTTGGCATAAACTTTTTTTGTTTTGCCGTAAAGTATTTGAAATTTTTTTAATCACTTACCGGTTTCTTCCAAGAGATTATTTTCTCCTCACACACTGAATATTTACTTAAAGTAAAAATTCCACTCAACTGCAACAAATTATAATGTCTATGAATCACCAATGAACAGTCATGATTGAAAAAATTACATACCTCAATACAGAGTAGCCATACTAACAAAACATCAAACTGAACCACTCCCACTACTTTTAACGTAACTTTTATTATCAGTGCTCAATTTATCTGATCAGTTATCACTCCTTTTGTAGACCAAAAACAATTCAATGTAATTTTTTGCTAATCATAAACCAAACAACAGAAAAAACTACTTTTGTGTATTACTTCTACCTAGCTTCAGTGTAAAGTTGGCACAGGAAAAGGCTACCACTAGGGAGAGAGAAAGTCCCTAGTGTGACGCGACAGTTTAAGTTTCAGCGCTCTTTTTAAAAGAATTTTGTTTGGTTCTTACATTTTAATTGTTGCCTAGAAATATTCAGTAAAATAATTATTCACTAACTCGTTATCAAGTATGCTCCGAACATTTATTTCAATTATTGTTATCACTACTAGTAAGGCCCTTTCAGAAGACAATGTAAACAATGAGAATTTATTAAACACACTTTTCAATGAAATTGATTCACCGAGATTAAAAGTATTATTATATTCATGTATTTTTGACATATTCTATATGCTAATCCTTTATTGTTGCTATAACAGGGTAAAATGGCATATCCCAGGAGAAAAAACTGAGCAAAAAGGCGAATTTTAACTTTTAACAAAGGTACTTTGAAAAACAGGGTAGATTTGCTAAAAAATTATGTGTGCTGAGGGGGCCTAACAGGAAAAAAGTTTTTAACACAGAGCAAAATCCTTAAAATGTGGCTTTTTAGATATACCTTTAAAAACAGGGCTGTACAAATCTTTGAAAAATGTTAATTTTAAAAAGGCCGTTAAAAAAAGTGTTCTGATTATAAATTATTTGAATGAAAATTTATCGTTTTAAGGCATTATTTGATCTAGGTGAATAAAAGAATAATAATTTTTGTTTGGAAGCGTGAATCTAGTCGGCTTAATTGTCAATTTCAAACCGATGTAACATTTTGGAAAAGAATTTTTAATTATTATTGTTATCGCTTCCTGTACGTTTCTTTCCTTATACATTTGGAATAAATTAATTTAGATATGCGTTTTTGGATGAAAACTTATTGTTCGTGTGATAATGCTTGTTTAGAAGCGTGGATCTAGTCGGCTTGGTAAACCGATCTGTCATTTTGAGAAAAAACCTGTCAGTAGTGTCAAATTGTCAATGGAAAAGTCTGGAATATCGCGGTATCGGAAATAGGCGATTTGCATGCGTTTGTGTTGAAAATCGAAAATTTTAGAAAGGGAATTTCTCGTCGTTTCTTGTATTTTGTGGCCTAAGGCTTGGAGGCAGGCCAGGTCAGTCGGCCATATCTGGCGCTGGTGCTGGCCGCTCCGAGAACCGAGATCGACAGTATACCACCGTGGTATCATGCGATAAATTTCTTATCAAGTGGTGCAGCGTTTGATAAGAGTGTGGGGAAATGTCTGTTTAACAAACAGGGGTGAAGGTGCAACTTAGGGGTAGTTTAAATAATGTGTCGCTTGAAGAAGAGTCACAAATGGGAAAAAAATTTAGGTTAAGATACGCCAATTAATAATAGCGTTTTAAACAATATTGGACTGTACATAGGTATGTAAATGTCTGTATTAATTGCAAGTTGGAGTACCGTCAAAAATGCTTAACTCTTGCTGTTATATTATCAAGTGGTATTAAAAACTAGTGCAAACCATAGAAATGGCTAGTACGTTTGATCATGAGGATAAGGATAGGTATGTTTTTATTAAATTAACGATTTGATTTCACAGTTGATTGTTTTTAGCTGGTATTTTGGTCCAATTAGCAGGAAAGAAGCCACCGATTTGCTTATGGCAGAACGAGGAGGTGGTGTTTTCTTAGTGCGTGATAGTGCTACTTGTGTTGGAGACTTTGTATTGTGTGTAAAGTACAGTAGATTTCGCTTGTTTTCTAACAAATTATCTCACCTTGGAAACATTACAGGGAAGACAGTAAAGTGAGCCATTACATAATTAATAAAATGCAAGAATCGCAACAAATTAAGTATAGGATTGGAGATCAAATTTTTGCAGATTTACCAAGCTTACTTTCATTCTATAAGCTTCATTATTTAGATACAACACCACTTATTAGACCTGCTTCTAAAAAAATAGAGAAAGTTATCGCTAAGTTTGATTTTGAGGGTCAGGTATGTCTCATTGTCTTTTAATTTATTCAAGTCATGCATTTTATTACATTACAGGATCCTGATGATCTAGTCTTTAGAAAAGGGGAGATCCTTACAATTGTCGCAAAAGATGAAGAGCAATGGTGGACTGCCGTGAATAGTGCTGGACAAAGAGGATCTATCCCTGTTCCATATGTACAAAAGGTAGGTATGAAATAAAAATGTTTTAATCGTATAATTTTTGTTGTATTTTATGCAGTATGAAGAAGGACAAGCTCCTGAAATTCCTAGGCCTGGTTCAGGAGGTAGTGTAACAAGTTCGACGCAACAGCAAGCTGAAACTGCCATGAAACGAAGTCAGATGCAAGTAAGTGACATAATAATGTTTGAAAACAAAAAAAATATTTTTTTTTTTTAGCGAAAACTTCCAGCAAAAGCACGAGTGAAACAAGTACGTGTACCAAACGCTTACGATAAAACCGCTTTAAAACTGGAAATTGGGGATATTATCACTGTTACGAAGACTAACATAAATGGACAGTGGGAAGGGGAGTTAAATGGGAAAACCGGCTATTTTCCTTTTACACATGTAGAATTTTTAGATAATGATAATGAAATTTAGTGTTTTTTATTGATTATATTATTGTATAAATGCTCCATTCTGCTGTATATTTATTAAATTTATTTGGCACTAACATACAATGTTTATCTTGATTACAAGCTATTTGTGTTGTTAATATCGAATTGTATTTTTATTAATTACATATCAATATTTACATAAATGGAATTTATTCTTCAATGAGCTTTGAATGTATTGTTTCACAAATAAATCAAGTTCCTCCCATCGGAACATTTAAATCTCCCGCTCGCTTAAAGAACCCGCCTTTATGCAACATGTTGGTTACATCTTGTGTTCAAGGTCACCGCTATAAAACCCAAATATAAAAATAGCTGTACTTGATTACGTCATTTTTTGTATGAAATATTGAATAAAGTATCATTACGAAAGATATTGATCGTAAAAGTTATTTTAAAATTAGCTTTTGTTGTTTTTTTCACGGAAAAAATGGGGAGTTTGTATGCATCATGTTGTTGGTTGATTGAAATTTCCTGCATTACCGATAGAGCAATTACACTAACACTAAACTAGTGAAATGTGTGATGCGTTGATTGTAGATTATCCTATCTTTAAAATGTAAATAATAAATAAAAAAACAAAATGGGCCGTTCAAAATTTCCCGGAAAACCATCGAAACATGTTAATAGGAAAAGAATTAATGTTCTTCCACCCACCTCAGAGGGAATTATTGAATCTAGCAGGTCTATGACAGTTGAAACTGTTGCAGAAAACAAACAGGTAAACATAAACAGTTTTGAGCAATAATAACAAAACCAAACTATATTTGATTCATTTATGATAAAAAAACATTTTCTAATTCTAGGGCGCCGAAAAAGATGTCGAAAAAAGCAGTGAAAGTGTAAATTTAAACAATATAAATACAAAAGTGTCATTGAGAAGAAGACTGAATCGAAAAATGCAAAGTTCGAAAGCATTGATGAGCAATAATTCGTCTAAACGTGGTCTAATATCAAAACTCTGTAATAAAACAAGTGTTTCCTGTAAACTCTCAGTTAAAAGCAAATTAAATTGCACAGCATCAAGGAAGGCAAACATCAATCGCAAATCAGTGCATGCATACTCCCCAATAAAAAATTTCCGCCAGTGCAGAACAGGAATAACAAAAGAAAGTAATAATCTCGTTGGAAAATTCGTATTGCCCACAAGAAGTGTCCATTCATCGCGTGTAATAAAACCAAACAAAAGATTCATAAACGTGGACTTGAGTGACACATTAACGCTAAAAAAGCGCGTCATCACCAAAAGACATTGTATAAAACAAAGCGAAAACCCGTCGAAAACCAACAAAAGTGACAGTGCGTCAGAACCGCCAACAAAAACATTCTCAAACGGGCGCGTCGTCCTCCGTCAAGCGCGCTTGAAACTCCACAACCAAACCCCCAAAGGCTCCGAAGGCCCCTTCTCCAGCAGCTCGACGAACGGCTCTCCGCCGGGAACAGTGACTTGTGGTGTCTGTGGTGCCGTCCGTTTCTACCGTTTCGTAAAACAAGCGCGCAAATTCAACATCTACAGCTGCGAATCATGCCGGAAATTCATCTCAAAGATGATAAAACGGCAGTCATGCGGCAAGAACCTCAGCAGTGCTACTCTGGTTTGCCACAAGGGACAAGGAATGTGCCACGTGCCCCCCATAGTGCGCAGCCAACAAATGAAACTCATTCGGTGCGCCTACAAGTCCCGGTGCCCCGCCTGTTGGCTGAAAATGTGCCTTCGCTCCTTCCAAATGCCCCAATCTTTGAAAAACAGCCTAATCCAACTACTTCCAAAAAACATGCAAGGCTCTAACGTCATGTTCAACAACTCCCTACCCTTATTGTGGCAAGTCAGCGTTCAAAATATCAACAAACCTGAACAGAAAACGGTGAATCAACGACCCGTCAGGTTTAAAAACACTAAACCTGTCACGCAATCAACTCCAACTTCCGATATTAAAAGGCAAAAAATTGATCTGAAAGGACCGAGAGTCAAACACGTTTGTCGTAGTGCTTCTATAGTTTTGGGTCAACCCTTGGCCATGTTTCCAGGTGATGTCGAGAAGAAGAGAATTGAGGAATGCCCAAGAAAAGCACAAAAGACGAGTGAAAACATTGAAACGCCACAAGTCAAGTTGAAAGATGTAGAATGCAGCGAAAATGAATCCGATAATGATAAATCAATAAAGGTGCCATTGGTACTAAATGAAAATTTAATTTCTCAAATTAAAAGGGATAGAAACCATAGAGTGCCTTTTTCATCCGTATCTTCGTCTTCGTCACTTCAGTCTTTCACATCTTCAACGTTTACGTCTTTCAGTGAAGTGAGTATAATAAACTTAAACACTTTTTACTCTAGTAACATTTCTAATTTCAGAACAAATCCGATTTTGAAAAGAAACCCAATCTACAAGAAGTCCAAAACATGATCTCAATCAATTATTGGGATAATTACGATTTAGATGATGTCAATCAAAACGGTTTTTGTCTCATTGCCTCTCAACAATTTCCAATGCCTGCTATTTGTTTTCTTTGTGGCAGTGCTGGACGCGAGGCACTTTTACACTGTTCTCTCTGTTGTGAACCATATCACCCCTTTTGTCTTGAAAGAAGTCCTCAAATTACCGCCAGCAATAACAGACAAAACGTATGGATCTGTCCAAGATGCACCACTTGCAACGCGTGCAACCAAGCAGACAGACAAAAAATCCACTGTCAAAAGTGCTCCAAAGCGTACCATTCGGAATGTTTAAACACAGACTGGGCCGGCAAAGGTAAACCGATGGTGAGTAGCGTTTACCACATTATTTTAAATTCAACCACAAATAGCAATATTTTTTGACCTGTTTCATAATACAGTTAATTGAAAACCTAGTGCTAAAAGCCGCAATTTTGTAGATCTGTTCAAAATGCCTGAGTTGCAAAGACTGTGGTGACATAAACACTGCAAATTTTTTTGGGAATTCGTCGTTATGCGTGACCTGCTTTAAACTACGGAGGAAAGGATCATGTCCCGTTTGTTTGATACCATTTAGAGAGATTGATACGAACGAAAAGGTGCTATTTTAAGTTTTAATAATTTTTTGTAAACGAGTTGAGTTTTTAGATGATGGAATGTACAAAATGTAAAAAGTGGATTCACGCGGATTGTGAGGATTTATCAGAAGAGTATTATCACATCTTGAGTTATCTTCCCGAGTCTGTTAAATACTTGTGTTGTGTGTGTTCGAAACATTCACCACCTGCTTGGCGTAAATCAGTAGAGTCCGAACTGAAGTATAATTTTAATCAAGTGTTGCGGTTATTAAGCAAAAACAAAACAGCTAAAAATATGTTAAAGTTAAATCTTTTAAATAATTACGTTACGTTGACAAGAACTACCGATAGGAAAAGTGATTGTGAGAATGACGGCGATGACAATCAGGAGAATTTAGTTACATATTTTAATAGTTTTAAGAACAGTGACAGTGATAGGACTGAAGCGCCTTTGAAGAGTTTCAGTGATTTTAAAATCAACCAAACTCGGACTTTGACTGTGCTAGATATTAAACGTAAAGCAAACTCGAATGAATACAGTTCAGTGAAAGACTTTCATAAAGAAATGGAAGAAGGGTTAGCTCAGACACAATCGGATGAGTTGGTAAATATCTACCGATTAATTCTCAAATCAGTATTTCCTTGGTTTGACATTTCTCAAGACTCAAAATGGAACAATACGAAACAACGATTTTTATGTAATAATAACAATGATGAAGACATTTGTGGTCAAATCGAATGCGTGTCAATAGACTCGAGATATTGTTCGTTTTGTAAAAGTATAGGTGATGGTTTAAGCCATCTTGAATCTCGGTTACTTTACTGTGGACAAAACGAATGGGTGCACATAAACTGTGCATTATGGTCGTCCGAAGTCTATGAAGAGATCGATGGTTCCCTCCAAAACGTCCACAGTGCACTCTCAAGAGGTCGTCTAATGCGTTGTTCGTATTGTAAACAAAAAGGGGCAACAGTTGGGTGTTGTTTCAAGAACTGTTGCGAGATTTATCACTTCATATGTGCAAGAACCGCTAAATGTCATTTTATGCATGACAAGACTGTATATTGTTGTAGTCATGAACTACCGAAAACTAGTAGCGTTATAGTCACATCTAATGATTTTAATATTCGGAGATCTGTTTTTGTCGAGTTGGCTGATTATAAAAAAGGGCAATATTCACAAATTGAAAAAGTTAACGTCATGGTTGGATCACTTTGTGTTACAAATCTTGGAAAAATCAATCCTGTTATGTCGGATACTATTGAGGCTATCATTCCGGTCGGTTATAATTGTTCAAAGTTGTTTTGGTCAACAGTTGAGCCTTGGAGATTAGTTTCGTATAAAATATCAACTTCGATTTTAAATGCTCATGTTAATAATCTTCACGTTGATAAGAGTTTCACCGTTGATCATTCGTTACCAAAGTCGGTAGTTGAACGTAAATTGAAGGAAATCCTCCTTTGGCACAAGGATATAGACAAGAAGAAGTTGGATGTTATTGAGTTTGATGATGAGGAGGAGCCTCAAAACGGAGCTGATCTTTTATCACCTGAAATCACCGATGCTATTTTTGAGGAACTCCCTCATGAGTTGCTTGATGGAATCTCAGTACAGGACATTTTCCCGAAACTTATGTCTTACGAGGATTTTATTAGTATGGATTCGAAATCAGAAACGACCAACTCTGATAACAACGTGAACAGTGAATTGAAAAAATCAGAGGAAGTTGAAACTATGGAAGAGTTTGACGATGTGAAAAAACAAAAAACTTGTAGTCTGACACTGAGTTGCAAATTGGATAATAGTTTTTCTCCTGTGATTAAGAAACGGAAAATAACCCCACGTGAAAATAATTTGTTTTTTCAACTGTTACAAGTCGATGGTAACTTTGATGACAGTTCGAGTGATTGTGGGTCACCAGTGGGTGTTAATAATGTAAACATCTGGGATTCAGATGTTTCCGAAGAACCAGTCACGTGTGAACGTTGCCAGTGTACTTACCGGACACAAGCAAGCTATAAAAGACACTTAGATGCATGTGAAATTATTTGCACGAGTGAAAGTGATTCAGAATTGAATCAAGATCAAGATACGAATCATGAAACAACTCAAATTCACGTAACTGAAACAACGACTGTCAACACTGAAATACCACCACCTGTTCTCATAACGTCATATGAATCTTATCAAAATGAAATTCACACTTCTGTGTTAAATACTCAGACTTTTGTAGCATCGAAATCGAATTCAGAAGTGATTACTGTTCCTCAAAATCCGGAAATAATTATCCCCCAAACCAAACCAGTGGTTAATAGTGAAGTGTTTACAGTATCGCAATCGACTGTCTCAGTTAACGAACAAACCTCGCAACCGTTTTGTTTACCTCCAACTGTCTCTCTTTGTGTCAACTCCCCACTACCGGTTAACCCGGTATTAACCGCTATTAACCCTCAAATGGAGTTTCAACCGATACAATCCATGCCATACTCGACTAATGTAGCTCCTGTTATTAATGTAACACCCCAAAATCAGATTACTTTCACTGATAAGTTATTAAATAATTCAACAATTATCAATTCGATGATTAACGTTCCTGGAAATCGATGGGTTAAACCGGTGGAGCAAAAAAGTCCGACTAAGATTTTTAAAGGAAGAAGATCGATTGCTGCTAAGAGGGGTCATGAGGAGGAAACAATTGTGATACCGGCAAGTTCGGCCCCTGTAATTGTCCAACACTTGCCATCGAATAATTTTATTCCGACTTTTGTTGACACTTTCCAACAACAATCTGGTCAAAATGTACAATACGTTACAACGATTTCACCTCAAATCAATTCAACGATAAATCCACAACCGTTGGTGCAGTTACAAGCTGATAGTAATTTGATAAGTTTGTTGCCTGGTATTCAACCGACGATGATTATTCAACAACCACGAGTTTTGGAAAATCAGTTGATTGTTGATGGGAATGGTTCATTGAGTTGGACACCACCGCAAGTACAACCGGTCTATTACGGTTTTGAGACTATAGTACAGAACACTGTAATGCAATCTCAACAGTTTCTACCAACAACAGTACCAGGAGTTTTAACTGCCAATAGTAGTTATTCTACAACGACACAAGTATTCCAGACCAGTAAATTAGAACCAGTATTAGATGTGGCAACGAATAGTTTTGTTCTACTAAACACAGGACAATTGGTCAATTCACAGTCACTCGAAGTACCTCAAAATACACTAACGAATGTTATACAACAAACAGAAATCAATCAATGTAAATACTCAACACCTGCATTTCAAAAACCGAATAATCAACCAATTAGTGTCACTAATACGAATAGTATTACACTACCTACAGCACCTTTTGTCCCAGAACAAGGAATACCAACCAATATTGTCACACCAACACCTAAATCTGTACCAACAACACAAAATCGCCCCATGAGTCGTGTCCTCCCAATGCAAACTTTAAAAGAAACGAAAGAACCAAACAAAGTTAAAATACCAACAGAAAAAATTGAAGCAATTAGAAAAGAAATAAAAATCCTGGAGAAAGTCGTAGAACCGGTGATTGAACCTGACAAGAAACCAATCGAAACTCAATTAGAAAATGACATAAATGAAGCCAAGAAAGACTCTCCTTTGAAACTAGTGTTCCAAAAACAGACCCAAGACGGTTCATACAAAGTCAGTAACAATGTCGAGGAACCTACAATAAGCCCCAAAGTAAACAATTTTAAACCAACTGAACCGCCGTATAAACTAAACAACAATTTCAACAATCGCAACTCTCCGGTACAAATAGCACCGTTAAAACCAATCAAGTCGAATTTTAACCCCCCAAAACCACTACACATTCTATCACTTAGTGATAAACAAAACCGGCCTGAAAAAACCGAAAGGAAGGTTGCCACTATTGACCCTCCAAAACATTTTCCTCTCGAGAAAAAGGAAAATGAGAATGTCCCATCTATACTTTACACAATTGAGACACAGGATGGTTTTCGGTATTCATCAACTTCCATTGCCGACTTGTGGACTAAAGTTTTCGAAGCTGTGCAAAACGCACGGGCGGCTCACAATATGCCACTTTTGCCCTCAGATTCCACAAGTATTGTTAATAGTTTGCAAATTCTCGGATTGAAGACTTCAGGACTTAAGTATCTCATTGAGCAATTGCCAGGTGCTACCAAGTGCTCGAAGTATAGGCCGATGTTCAACTTTCCATCGAAATGTATAGAAATTGAGGACGAGCTTGTGGGGCACACGCACGGGAGTGCGAGGTGTGCACCACACATTAAACGAAATGAACCCTATGATATGTTCAGGTGGTTGGCATCGAAACATCGGAAGCCTGAACATAGTCTATTCTGTTCAGATTTAGTGCCAAGGTAAGGGATTTTTTTTTTAATTTTTTTTTTTTTGACTTATACGGTTTGTAGAAGGGGCTCTGTAAATAATTTACCAATGGCCATGCGATTCCGACAATTGAAACTCACTAGTAAATATTCAGTGGGAGTGTATCGTTCAAAAATCCACCGACGTGGATTATTCTGTTTGAGGGATTTTGAAGCAGGAGAAATGGTTATAGAATACTCAGGAGAAGTAAGTTAAAATTGAATAAATAACTATACTAAAAACTTTCTATAGGTTATTAGATCAGTTTTGACTGATAAGAGGGAAAAGTATTATAATTCGAAAGGAATTGGTTGTTACATGTTTCGAATTGACGATAATTTGGTTGTTGATGCGACCATGACCGGAAATGCGGCCAGGTTTATAAATCATTCTTGTGATGTAAGTTATTGTTAATGGTGGGAAATCCGATTAATTTGCTTATTTTTTAGCCGAATTGTTATTCTAAAGTTGTTGAAATTTTGGGTCACAAGCACATCATCATTTTTGCTTTAAGACGAATCATTTGTGGAGAAGAGTTAACATACGATTATAAATTTCCCATTGAGGAAGATAAAATTCCATGCACTTGTGGAACACGGCGTTGTCGGAAATTTCTCAACTGATATTTAATTTGAATTTATGTTTTTATCAGTATTTTTTCTTATTTTCATCGAGTGAGCTCAAAAGAAATTGAACAAATGACGAACTTTTTTTTTATTTTATACTTTTATTTTGTGTATGTAATGTATATTGTGTTTGTAATTACGGTTGTATATAATTGAACTTATGTAATCTACTTCCACGGTAGCACCTATTTGCCATTTTAAAGTTATTACATTCTTAAGTTTTGTCAGTATTTTTTTCAAATTTATGTATATATTTGGCTGTGAGATTTTATGCATTTGTGCCATTGGCTGCATAGGTGCTATAATACTATATAGTTATAAATTTTGATAAAAAGTGAATATGTGATATGTTTCATAGTCCAGTGTAATTATCTAGTTATACACGCGAAAAATTACTTTTATTTTGAGTAATAATACTGGTAATTGAGTCGTGTTTTGGAAACGAATGTGAAAATACAATTTAGAATTCTCTTACGTACAAATACAGATCTTATTATTGTACATTATTCCTTTATATAAGTTGTAATTATGTTCTGCTATGAATTAAACGCCCGTGCATCAAATGCTACCAACAGTTCGAATTGTGTTGTATCATTTATAAAATGAGCAAATATATACTCCACTGTATGATATATTACATCACCCAAACAGGCTTTTTTGTATATTAATTTTTGTATATAGTTTTTTTTTAACGATTGTTTTATTTATAGGTACCTATGGCAAACAACTTTTAACTGCAAATCTCATTCAAAACTTAAAACTCAAATGTGTGTGTGTACAATAACGAACATGTTAGAAATTGTGATTGTAATTTTACAAATGACAATATCGACATATCAGTTTTTATTAGTAGAACAATGGAAAGTTCTACAGCGTGATAAGAGGCCTTGTGTTGTATATAAATTGAACGATTTTACAGTGTCTTAAATTTTTATTGTATATAAAGATCGTGCTCCTTCTGGTGCTTTTACTTATACTAATTCGAGCAGCTGTGCTATACACTTGTAATATTTCCAATAAAACATTCAGAATAAAACGATTTTTTATTTATTTTACAAAAACGTAGTCCAGTACACAATATTGAGAATAATAAACGAAAACGGGAAGAAAAACCGAGAAAATTGGTCAATACAAAGAGCTATGTTTTTCCCATGACAAAAAGTATCGTATTGTGGCTGACTGGCAGTACTAAAACGTGGCTCATCAATTCCCTAAAAAGAAAAATCACAAAAGCAACTCATTAACTTCACATACCCTATATTCATTAAACTGCGAAGTGATATCTTCATCTGAATACCCTTTCATGGCTTTTGTTGCAACAGGACCCATAAAATTATTAACAACAGCAAATTCCATCAGTGATAAAAACACAAAAACCGAACAACTGGACATCCACACATCGATTGCTTTAACATAAGAGACAGGAGGAAGAGATTGTTGAGACTGGGTATTTTGGGTGGCTAAAGTTAGTAGAGAGGTAACTCCAAGGGTTACCCTTGCTGGAATAGCTTCAGGTTTAATCCAGAAAGATATCCATGACATGACAACAATCAAAGCTGAGGGAATGTAAGTGTGGAACAAGTGGTAACCCAATCTGCGTTTCAAGTTAAAAACAATGGCCAAACATGTGAAGTTACCTATGTTTTAATTTAGAAAAATTTTTTTTGGTTTTGTTGACTTGCCTGTGGAATATTCAATTGTACAATCCGTTGTGTAATTATTAGAAATGTCGAGTTGAGGCAACTCAATTGTGGGATTGACAACAAGAGGATCAGTCATATTCCAAATAAAAACCAAGTCGTGATCAGTGTGCGACACTGAAATTTTTTGAATAGAATTAGATTTTATTCAAAGGAGTTACGCACAACTTTCAATCATCATGGAGCAAATCTGGGTGTCATGTGGGTACGACTCGAAATGCATAGCACATGAAAGTACAAGAGTTAATCTTAAAAAAAATCAATTACACGGTGTTAACACTCGTTCTTACTTAGACATATAGAGTAAGGTTTTATCGTGATAGAGCCACAAATAGTGGTTTGGTATCGTCATTTCATGAAACGTTACACTTTTCGCATTTTTAAAAAAACAGTCAGGTCTCCAAATATTATGGAGCCACTCCACATCTAAAATCCTGTATTCCTCGCTCATATTCTCGGGAAATCGGAGTCTGGGATCTCTCCAACTTTGCGCTAGGAATATATCCGTGACGTAAGTCTGCAAAAAAACTTAACTTACGACCTGACTTTGGGCAAGACTTGCCATCGATTCTTCATTGATTGAATCAAGAGAGAGGACAGTAACGTGAAAGTAGACAACAGTTGGTTGTCCTTGAAGTTTAGGGGCTCGATTTTTGTCGTAATGTTTGGGTTTTGGTGGTAGAATGTCGCTCAATGAGAGACTGGTTTCTTCAATGTGGTCACGGTGCTTTCTACTAAAATGATTGGTTCATTTGATCATCTCGTTTAATGTTAAAATTAGTAACAAGGGAAGGGGGCGTAAATAATAGTTAGTACCTACTTACTAGGTATGAGTGCTCTTTACATTTGAGATCATACACAGAGCCAGTAAAACACAGAATACCATAGTGAAGTACGATTAATGTAATCTCATTAATGGTCGTGATAGACACGGGGTTTCTACCACTGTTAGCTACACTAACGACTAGCTCCTTTACAGTTTACACTAATTTAATTATACTAATAATAAGCTTAGAATAAGTTACAAATTAAAAAAAAAATCACCGGGTGAGAACCCGTAGCAATGCACTGTCTTAAATTAGTTCAGTAACTTTAAGGAAGATTTCAATGTGAGATCCATAGGATGTTCACGCCGTACCTACTCCTATAACTATACACACTTTAATACTACTTTGTACAAGTAAACACTTTACATTATGTACATATATTTATGTCTACTATTATTACACTTATAATTTTCTCTTCTAAACATAACTATTTCAAAACGTTGATTTTGTTGGTTTGCATAAATGGTCAGGCGAGTCGTAATATGAAAAAAAAGTTTATTTGTATAAAAATACAACCAAATTTAAGTAGCTCAATTTAAATAACAATACTTGTCCCTAAGTATAAAAGCAAATAAAACGATATGATAAATTAAATAAAATGCAATGCACATCAATTCCGCTATAAAGTATTCGAGATATTTCAGTCACAATTAGAGATTTAGTACACGCAGCCGTCTTGATCCGCCCCAAGAAAAGTTACTGGGCTAAAGTTGCAGTGCCAAAGTAAAAAAATAATTCTAACTCATGCACTATGCAAGTCAAGTATAGATTTAATTTAGTAATTATCACATAAGAAGTGGACTTCTGAGGTCAATTCTGATTACCGTCAGACCCCAACCTGTCAACAAATAAATTCCACAATTACTCCTAAGTATTATTGCTAGTTGCCATAGTAACAAACATTTGTTGAAAATCGGCCAACTCTTGACCTAAGATTTCAATTCCTTGCGAGCCACTACGACTTGGTTCACCGGAAGATGGTGCTGCTTCCTTACTACCAACATTGCTTTTTTTTTTCTCAGACTCGGTACCATCAGGTCGTCGAGCTGGTGTTTGTTTGCAGGGAATGACAGGTTTATTGGGGGGAATTGGCGGAGGGACACCTCGTCCCGCCACGGCCCCCTTCTTGGGGGGCGTTTGGGGGGCAGTGGTCGCTTGGTATTGAAATGCTGCTTTCGGTTGAGATCGCGTTACTGGTGGCTGTGTTGAAATTAACTGAAATTTTCTTTTTGTTAAAGTACTAGTTGAGTGCCCTTACCTTTGGCACAGGGGGCGCAATTGCTGTCTGACGCAGAGCCTGACCCGGTGTTACAGACTGAGCAATGCCCGTTGCTACAATAATAAATTAGAAATAACACAATGAAAAAAATTATTATTACTAGGGCCTGAAACTGGGACACTTGAAACAGTCGCCGTCGGTTGTACCACTTTAGCTACACTACTAATCATAGGAGCTGCACTATCACAAGTTGTGTTATTTCGAGTTTTAAGTAATTCATAATCTGATTTTAATTTTTGTAATTCAGCTTCCAATTCTTGACATCTAAAAAAATGTTATTATGTTTTTACTGTTACGTAATTATTTACCTAGCCTCTTTTATGGCAAGTTGTTGTGTTAATGATTTTTTGTCAGCTTCGAAAACATGTAATTGTTTTTCAAGTTCAGCCTCCATTTGAAGTGATTTTTTGCTTTCTTCTTCTAAACCTTCAGCCATACTATCAATCCTTGATTTTTCTTCAGATAATATCTAAAATTTCAAATTTGTATAAGTTGAAACACAAAAAGTGAACAATTACTTGTGCTAAATCTTCACTTCTTTTTCTCTCCTCGATATATTTGACTATAATTTTTTTCCTTTCAGCTAGTAGAAGCAGAACAATTTGTTTTTGTCTCGCTCTTTCTTCATCAGCCATTTCTAATTGTTTTTTAACTTCTTTTTCTAATTTTTTCCTTGCAGCCCTTTCCATTTCCAATTCTTGTCTTAGTCTAGTTCTCTCCATTTCTAAACCATAGGTGATATCGTCACCTTGAGCAGTATCATGTTCGTGTTTACATTTCTCTTCTTCTAGGTCTTGTATAACTTTCCTATGTTTTGCTTCAGCTTCTTTTAGTATATTTATCATATGTTGATGAGCACGTCTTTGTTGTAGCGCTAATTGTTCTAGGGCTTGCAACTGTTGTTCAGCTGCAACAGCCATTTCTTGTTCATTTATAACAGGTTTCGCATTTGGTCCATCTGCAATACTGTCTCTAAGTAAAGCTGTGTAGGGGTCAGAGGCCACCGCTGGTCTATAGCGTCCCACATTCACCACTTGTTTCAACCTCTCAGACTGAATAAATAAATTAATAAGAGAAAAGACTTAAAAAATACGAACCTTCAAGGTGGCAATTGCAATATCTCGAGCCTGAATTTCACCTTCAAAATACGTGACTAATTTAAGAAGATCGGTTTTTGAAAGTTCCATTTTGGGATTTCTCTGTTAAAAATCAAACTAGAATTGTGACTAATAATTGTGTGAACAACCTTAAGAGTGTTACTGCCAGCACTTGTCCTATCTAGTTGTTCAAATTGATTTGGATCTGTGGAAGCCCCCGGTTGTTGTTGTTGCTGTTGTTCCGGAACACAACTTAAGGAGCCCCCAAACCCCATTCCTAAGCCACTCAACCATCCATTCTGCTGATTGTTATTAGAAGCCATGTTGAAGGATTTTTTCCAGCTTCCCTAATTTCAAACAGCTAAAACATCGCCAAATCTATCATTTTCTCAATCGATAATTGCGACATTATCGACATTATATTCCAAACGTAGAGTTCAATCAATTTACAGTTTGGAAAACACTCTTAGAGGTTAACGTGAACAATCGATTAATTTACTCATAACCAAGAGAACTCCTCTTTAGGGTATTTGAGTTTTTTGCTCACACGACAACAAATTCCCCCAGAGATCAGATGCAGCATCATTTTTTTAATTTAGTTTCAAATTTTTTAACACTGTGACTTTCAAAGTGTTTTAAATTCTAAATAATTAATTTATTTGGAATTTATTTTTTGGTCCACCTGTAATCTGGAGTCACAACAAATTCAAGTATATTTCATTTGACAGATGACAGATGTTAGAAACTGTCAGTTCGTGATGTGTAATCAGTGATTGATAAATAACGCTATTTAAATGTGATAAATCTCACTGTTTTTGATAGTGTGTTAAATATGTTCAGCCGTTTTAAAAATGCAGTTATAGGTGCTGTGAGTGGTTTAGAGACAAACGGTATACCAGCCCCCAACGACCCCCATTCCCATAACAAACAAACTTTGGCCCCTAAATTTTTGTACGGCCGTCCTGCTTTTTTGAATTTGTCTGAAGATGAAGTGCAAATGTCGGCCGACCACAGACTTAGGCCTATCATTCACCCTAGTATGCCTCTGCCCCACCATGCGGGGTACGCAGAGTGTGTCAACGCAGGGAAGTCCAAGTGGAACGAGGATCAGGCGGTGTACAGGCAAGGTGTCTTGACAAGGGTAGAATATAATGATAAGCAAGGCGTTCAAAAATTTTCCATCCCCTATACTTATTATGGCATTTTTGATGGCCATGCTGGAGTTGGGGCAGCTCTGTGTGCTTCAAATCAGCTCCATCATATTTTACATGTAAACTTCACTCTTTGATGATTTTTATTCCGAAATTGTCTTATAGGAAAAGTTGGTTGATGCCCAAGATGACATTTGGATAGCTTTCAGTGAAAAAAAGAAGCTCAAATCCAAACCTAGTGACTTACTTATAACAGGTGCTTTAGAAGCTGCTTTCAAAGAAATGGTGTGTGGTTTTGGTCCACTATATGTATTTTAAATTTGCAATTACAGGATCAAGTTATAGCCGAGGATAGGACTAAATATCAAGCTGCTGGTGGTTGTACAGCATTAGTAGCCCTATTTATTTTAGATAAATTATTTGTTGCAAATGCAGGCGATTCTCGCGCTATTATTTGTAAAGATACTAAATTTACACTAATGTCTATGGATTTTACTCCAGAAAATGAACGTGACAGAATTAGAAGGCTTGCAGAACAACAACCGAGTTTATTAGGTGATTAACTGATTTTTTAAGTTATAGTTCATTAAGTCGCTAATTGATGCCACTCAGAACACCTGAGGTAAGACTTATTTGGTGGTGTAACTAAATAATAAAAATAACAAACAATTGTGCGAAAAATTAAGTAATCGTTAGAGACCCGGAAAATAAAATTTCTAAAAAAGAATATAAAAAACAAAATTCATACAATAGTATAATAAAAAACAAGTTTATAAACACTCGCATTACAATGCATGAGTATATAGTAGATTTCATTGAAACTGGCATAATGGTTTGCTATGGAATTTTATATTTAAGTTTGTAGCCCTGCGAATGTCACTAGTATAAGGGCAAATGGGGTTTTTGTTTTTCTTTGATTATTTACCTACATAGTTTGTTGAACTGACTGACATTTGTATTCGTTTTTTCACTATTTTCGTTGCTTGTTATTCCTAGTATTTTTTCAAATTATAATTAAAAATTGGTTACTTCAGGTATATTCTGAAAAAGGCTTCTTTAAAAATTAAATTTTCACTATCGTAACCTTACATTTTTAATGACAAATTTAAATCCTTAATATGTAAAGCCTCTTTCACATTTAAAGCGTGGTTTACACAATCATGGCCTACTGTTGTGCCAATTTAAATGGATTATATTTGACAGTTAAAATTTTTGACATTTGACGTATGTAGTACCCAAATTGCTTAAATTGCATTAATTTCTATGAAATAACAATTTCTCACTTAAAAACGACAGTGATGATAAAAGTATTGCATAAAATGTTGCCTAAAAACAGTGTCACAAAGTTGTGACACCGAAATAGAAAAAACATATTTTTTATTCTTATTTTGCGCTATTTCGGTATAATTTGGAATTTCACAATTACGAATTTTCCGGCTCATAATCAATACGTGTTAGTTGTAGTTGCGATAACAAGATGTCACCACCAGTTCGAAACTCCATTTTATGGCCATCTTAGTTCCGTGCGCTACCGATAGAGGTCGCGTTATTAGCGGTTTTTGTGTGTGAAAATTTAATAACTAACGCATTTTAATGTTATTGTAGATTTGGCTTTGCTTTTATGATTAGAATTAACGTTTCGAATTGTGTCAATTTTTCAGGCCAAGAGTTTACATCAAAAGAATATGTTCGTCCTCCCAAATCTAGCGAACTTGGTAAGACAATAATGTATAGAGACGCTCATATGTGCGGTTGGGCCTACAAGACCCTCCAAGTGGATGATCTCAAAGGGTCGGTTATAACCGGTCAAGGGAAAAGAGTAAGCGGTTGCCGACACTTGAATAAATCTATCGTTTGTTTTTTGTAGAGTCGAGTGATGGGGATTATAGGAGTGACCCGAGGTTTCGGTGATCATGATATTGTTTCTCTTTATCAAAGAACTCCGATAAAACCGTTCCTTTCGTCGCATCCCGAAGTGCAAGTTCACAAAATAACGAACGTTACCGAAAATGAGGTCCTAGTGATGGGCACTGATGGATTATGGGACGTTGTGTGTGGTGCGAAAGCAGCAGAAGTCGTTGCAAAATCGTTAAATACTTTTATGGAAAAAGAACGTTACGTTAGTGCTGCTACTTGTTTAGTCGGGTCGGCGAGAGGGTCACTAGTGAGTGAGCATAGTTGGCAACTTAAAGACGGAAAACCATCCTCCGCTGATGATATATCAGTATTTGTTATACCTTTATTACCTTATAAATTAGAATATGAAAAATTACTTGGAAAGTATAGCGAAACCACTGAAAATTGATTGATTTTTGTGTTGCTTCGTCACTCCAAAGATTAGTGATACGCATACGAGTCATTATTATATTTGAAGTTTTCATATCTTGTTACATGGTTTGTACCTGTGCGGTTTTATATTATAGATCAAGGTCGCATGTATTTGGACCTTAACCATTCATTCCTTATATTTTGTACCCGATTGGGAAACGTTTGCAATAGAAATGATACAAAAAGTTTTTTTGTTTTTTTTTTTTTTTTTTCCTTCACCCAACTACGGAAAGTGGACATATATTCTGCCGGAAGTGCCTATAATACACCAATTTTTCATATTAGCCTAAAGAACTATAATTTCCGGAACGTTCGCGCGTCCTATACTCATGCACATTAAATCATATATCATTTCCATACAATACGGCACAACATAAAACGAAAGCAATATATTTTCGGAAAATTTTATATTTACTTTTAAAAAACATAAAAAGATTTGCCGTGGTTTTTATTGAAAAGGGTAGGGGTGCGCGTCTACAACAGATGGAGTTAGAACAGTTATATTACCCTTGCATGTGTTCACCCCCGCTTATGCTAATTCGCGAAGTGAAAATAATGGTCTAGGCCTCAGTTATGAATAACAATCGGTGCGACTACACCTGTCCTGAGCTGTAAGTGAATGAAGACGAGCAAAGACAGCAAGAAATAATAATTTTGCTTGTGTAAAGCGTGTAATAAAACGTAACGACAGAACGACTTTTTAATGACTGTATTTATGTTTATAAATTTGTGTTCCGAAAAGATATGAAGGAATTAAACCTTGCAGTCAGCAATAAAACACGTATAAAATATGAAATTGTCGTATTTTGTACGGGAATGTAAATTGACATAAATAACGAAGGAAATATATAATTCCGAGACCAGAGATGGAATAGAATCGGTCTCAGTGTAGCACAGCCCTAATAAAGCGTCATAGTGTTTCGCTTTTCCCTTGACTGAACTTGCTTTCCCAATGACGACCTAATGAAATTCTATGAGCCATGGCGATGAAATATAACCTAACGGGGATGAAACCGTTTGCATGTATATGGAAGTCAAGCAGCCATTTTCACTATTAACGATCAGTTTAGTTGACGAAAACATACTTCAATATCAAATCAAAGACATTCTGCTATAACATCCTCATAAAAACATTTCACAAGAGACTTCCTTACCTTATGGTTCATGTTATAGTTTTACGACCTCTTAAGGATCATCCCTTATCGAAGAACTAAATGTATGACTTGATTTTACTGAAGCGATTTTCACAATTCTTTTTATTTGAATCCGGTTCTGTTCAAAACGTGACAATTTCTCTAGGGAGGTTGTTACACATTAGCTGGAGGCAGGGCCGGAAGCCCCGACTCACAAAGCGGCACCTGATTGATATTTTCCATGTATCGAGTGATATATTTGAATGCACAAATTGGGTAATTGATAAAGTCTGAATCTGGAAGAGAGCCGAAATGCCATATCCGGTCATTCCAGTGTGAATAAATCGGAACATTAGGGAAACAATAACTCAAGTTATAGCACCAAGTCTAAGTAATAGAAGTTGTTATTTCTAACGAGAACAAGATATGGGCGCAATCTCCGTGCAAATATATATAAGAAGACGCAACTTCCGGTTTAGGAATGGACGTGCTTTCGCCGGAAACTCCAAGTGAAGTTCAGAGGAAATCGGAAGTACTGCAAACAAGGATGATAGCGCGCATTCTATAATAATATACTTTGCTGATTGCTTTCTGAATGATGTTACCATTTACCGTTGCCAGAACAACATTTTTTATACAGCAATTTCCTTGTTTGATCACATGACACACTTAAAACTAATCCTCACCCCTCGACGGACCCTCTCTGACCAACGGATTTATTTCCACTAAAAACAACTTTAAACTTTATCGACGATGCCAAATTCAGGGAACATTAAACCAATTTCAATAATTACAAAGCCCTAAAGTTACGGAGGGTAAATATGTATACAGCATGTCCCCAGACTGAGTTCACAAGAGGAAAAAAAAATATCTTTCATTTTACGCAAAAACATTTTTTTTGAAATTAAAACTTTCCAATTTTTTTGACAAATGAGTTTACGCAAGTTAAATAACAAAAATGTTTGTGAAAAACATGATTTTTCATTTAGTTAAATAATTGTTAAAGTGATATCGTTGGCAAAAAAGTGATGTGATGGGTCTTAAGACGCAGAGAAAAAAACTACAAGACCAAAATCAAGAGAAAAATAAACTTTTCTTTGTCTTTAATTTTGACAAATCAGCTTACGCAAGTTAAATAACAAAAATGTTTGTTAAAGTGACATAGTGTTCAAAAAAGTAATGTGAGGGGTCTTAAGAGGCAGAGAAAAAATTACAAGACCAAAATTAAGAGAAAAATAAACTTTTAAATCTTTGATTTTACGCCAAAACTGCTGAGGAAAAATATTTTTTTGATATGAAACGAGCAAATCTGAAATTAAAACTTTTAATTTTTTGACAAATGAGTTTACGCAAGTTAAATAAAAATTTTTGTGAAAAACAATTTTTAAAAAAGTCATTTTTAACAAAAAACAAGAACAATTATTTTTCAATTAGTTAATTAAATGTCAAAGTGATATCGTTGACAAAAAAGTAATGTGATGGGTCTTAAGAGGGAGACAAAAAAATTACCAGACCAAAATCAAGAGAAAAATAAACTTTTCTTTATCTTTGATTTTACGCCAAAACTGCTAAGGAAAAATATTTTTTTGATATGAAACGAGCAAATCTGAAACTAAAACTTTCAATTTTTTTGACAAATGAGTTTACGCAAGTTAAATAACAAAAATGTTTGTGAAAAACATAATTTTTAAAAACGTCATTTTTAACAAAAACAAAACAATTATTTTTCATTAGTTAATTAATTGTCAAAGTGATATCGTTGTCAAAAAAGTAATGTGCTAAGGCTTAAAAGGCAGAGAAAAATATTACAAGACCAAAATCAAGAGAAAAATAAACTTTTCTTTATCTTTGATTTTACGCCAAAACTGCTAAAGAAAAACATTTTTTTGATATGAAACGAGCAAATCTGAATTTAAAACTTTCAATTTTTTTGACAAATCGGTTGTGAAATAATAAAATGTTTGTGAAAAACATAATTTTTAAAAAAGTAATTTTTAACAAAAAACAAGAAAAGTTATTTTCCAATTAGTTAATTCATTGTCAAAGTGATTTCGTTGGCAAAAAAGTAATGTGATGGGTCTTAAGAGGGAGACAAAAAAATTACAAGACCAAAATCAAGAGAAAAATAAACTTTTTTTTATCTTTGATTTTACCCCAAAACTGCCAAGGAAAAATATTTTTTTGATATGAAACGAGTAAATCCGAAATTAAAATTTTCAATTTTTTTGAGAAATCAATTTACGCAAGTTAAATAACGAAAATGTTTGTGAAAAACACGATTTTTAAAAAAGTCATTTTTAACAAAAAACAAGAACAATCATTTTCCAGTTAATTAATTGTTAAAGTGACATCGTGATGGGTTTTAAGAGGCAGACAAAAAATTACAAGACCAAAATCAAGAGAAAAATAAACTTTTCTTTATCTTTGATTTTACGCCAAAACTGCTGAGGAAAAACATTTTTTTGATATGAAGCAATCAAATCTGAAATTAAAACTTAAATTTTTTTTTTGTCAAATGTGTTTACGCAAGTTAAAATAATCTTTTCTTTCTATTGAGTCAGAATAATAAAGTTTCAATGAAAAAAAAAATTTATTCCTTTGAAATTTTGGAGTAAAATCAAGGATAAAAATTTGTTTCCTCTTGTAAACTCAACCTGGAGACATAAAGTTTGTTGTATTGCAAAAAATTCTTATTTCTTGTGTAGTATATTATATTTGGAGTAAATCTCGTATTGCATTAAAAATCGATGGGTCCGGAGATAAAATTTTATTTGCAATTTGTGCATCCCTCATCCCCTACAATTCGCAAAGTTTTTTGAATAAAACTGAAGACATATGAAGCGTGTAAAATTGGTTTTGAAATGTAAGTATCATTGACGACTCGAACAGACCCAATATCTTTGTCACCCTTCAAATGTGAGTTGTGTTGGGCATTGGTGAGTGGTCAGCAAACCTAAGGAATAATAAGAAGGGGATACTTCACTCCACAATTGAATTTTTTCAGCTATAGATCTAGTAAAATGTGAAATTGATATGACGCATCCTTAAACTTCGCTTTTATAGTGGATGGAAATGGGATCGCGCAAGGGGGCCTCTAGTTTATTACCATGAATTAATCGAATTGAAAACATGTCATTTTTGATGCTCGATTTTTGTCATTTGTATCAATTGTAGATTTCATTCGGAAAAGTGTCACAAAATGTTATAATTTGTCATGTAGTTTAATCTTTCGTGTTTAACATTTATGGCTGACGTCGATTTATTGCAGTTAGATCCATTGATTTAAAATATATGCCAATTTAAGTTAAATTTGTAATCAATCAATGGGTAAATGCATGTCACATGCACAAGGCTTTACTAGGGGTTGTGGTAGTGGACCACATACGGTACCACATAATAGCATGTTGCAATACCACCTACCTAACAGGATCGCAACATTAAACCTAATTACTGGAATTAATTGACATTAATTATTAGATTCAGCTACTCAAATAGTGGCCGATTAATTGCGCTTATAATACATGCAAAAAAGAAAAAACTCACCTCGATTGAAGTTTAATGCCTGACAAAACAAAGCAACAATTTATGTGTCTCGCGAGAAATTAAAATAAATTAGTGGGAGCGTTTCATTTTTGAAAAATTTTACGTGAACAGTTTTATGAAACTGTTCCCAAAAGAAAAATTAAATTCAAAGTAAAACCGTAAAATCTGCAATAAAACGTGTAATGACTCTATTTGCCTAATTACTTAGTCTTTTATATGTTTTTCGTTATCAATAATAAGTTTTTCCTCAGGATGATGGAATAATCTCTTTTCGGAAGACTTACGAGATTAGTTCTTATTAGATGAACAATCCTCCCTACAAAAATTAATGTCACCTAAAAATATCTGATACGACATTAACTGGCCTATAAAACGAAACGCACAACCTGAAGCAAATCTCTTTGCCAATGTAATACCAAAAGATGCAATCTAAAATTAGTTTCTTTCTAAGTTGCAAGAACAATTCGCGCGATTATTAAAAGTTTTTGTTATTACGACCACAACTTGGATTA